GTACTTTATCAAGTCAATTAATTGTTGAAGAACTTAATGAAATTGGATGTGAAGCTTGAACATATGCTTCCGCTCAAGCTTGATGGTTTGATAAGGTGATACAATTTACTTTTGATATTTAGACTAATTAGACATCTGAACGTGAATGGAGATCAGATTTATTGTATCATTTGCATGTATTATACACAAGAAGGGCAAATTTGTCTAGGTTTGTGATGCCAGTTTATGCAGTTATGCTATGCACATGGGCTCTTGACGCATCGCTTCCTCATCTGGTCGGTTGGTTTTGTGCATGACGTCTTTAATCTTCTGCTCAATTTGAACTTGCACGAGCTAGTCAAGTACTCTGCCGATGAGAATCTCACATGATTTCCTTTTGTGTTATTCTGTCTTTCTCTGAATTCCTTCCCCAACGAGGATGTGGTGTGCTAATCAGTAGTCAAGTGCGTGACGTGTAATTGAGTCACCTCAGAACATGGAGTACTTACATGGCAGTTGGTAGTTGAATTTCTTCATTGTGCAGTGAAAATTGACGACATGATGCTCGTCATATACCTTTCGTCACTTATTCGCAGTGTTGTCGCTCTTCACAATCTTATCAACAATAAGGTAAAACTCCCTTGGCCAACAACTCTTATGTTTGATTAGATGGAAAATGGATGTTTCTGTTGAATGTGGCGAACTTTCACTTAACAGTTGGGTGAGTTGTTGCGCTTTTAGGCTCCGTTTTTGGAAGCCTAAAAGTCTGCAGTAAATCAGAATGGAGACACAATGAGACAAGCGTCCCCTCATCTTTTGATATATGTAACTACAATTGAAACTATTATGAAGATTATTTGAATTCATTTCTTTATGTTATGTGTAAATTTGCATATTACAAAAAGATGACAATTTGATCTTTACAACACTTGCTCTTGAAGTTTTATTGAAGTTATTTGTACATTGTAGTTGTTTTTTGGGGCTGATATTTGGACATGAATTGAAACTCAAAATGAAAATGTTGCTATAATTTAAAAGTAAAACATTGGAAAGATATGTTTATAACTTTGGATTGATTCTTTTGAGTGTTATTACTATGTAAAGTTATCAAGTTAAAATAATGGATTTTAGATTTTATTTTGCTCCTCTATGCGAAGATGGTTTTGAATGACTTCAAATAGCATCACTTAGACTCCACTGTGCATCTATGCACCTCAATTATTCAAATCAACATCTCTACGGAGCAAGAAAGCACATCCACAATGTTTGAACACTTACAAGTTTCAAAAATTTTGAGTGAGCAACTCCACCACTCTCGCAACTCTATGTGCTTTCTCAAATCTTCAAATGAGATCTTGTGCATCTCAAAGACTCCAAATGAACTACTTTGCAACTCTAAAGTTCCAAACAAGCCCTTATGCACCTCCAAAGCTTCAAATCATACCTTGTGCACCTCAAACAATGCCCCACAAGATCTACTTCAAACTACTTAGCAACCAAAGAATTCTCACTTGCAACTCACATGAGTGGGTTCATAACCTATAGAGATTGAAAGAGTAGAGAGAAGATTGATCTGACGAGTGTAGTACACAAGTTAATACACACATTTATTGGAGTTAGATGTAAGCTTTTTAAGAAATCCTTTACTTAAAGTACTTGGTTGTTTACTTACAAGTCATTTACTTATGTGTTTTAAGGCAAGTGAGACTTCAACTATTCATATCACATGTGCACCATGTGGTAATTCACCTCTCTCCATTTTCTCCACTTTTAACTTCCTCATTCTAATTCTGTATGATTGCAAACACTATTTACAATGTTTTAACTACAAGTTAACTGAACTCCAACATTAACTACGAACTATCTAAACTTCCACACAATTGCGATGCATTATGAGGCGTTTGAACTCAACTGCAATCTTTGTAAACACCATCAACATCCAACTTGAGCATGCTAGAATCAATCTAGTGGTATTCTTCCGCAAGAACTTGAACAATGAGTCAACGTTAGTCAGCTAGACAGCCCATTGCAGTTGTCACGCAGAACTGCAACCTCTGGACTTACTCTCACTCAGGTGTACCTTAGATGGTTTTGCGGTTGTTCATCATGGTTCTAGAAGACTATGAATTCTCCTCATACTCATAGCCCAAACACCCTCTCATACAATACCTCAATGTATCACTCCAACTCACACACATCGGCACTTCAAGGTACTAAAAATCATCATTCTTTCATATATGAAACAAGTTTCTACATATGAATTCTCCAAACTTGCTTCAAAGGTTCTTCCCTACTTCTCCATATATACTATTTGAAAATTTATCATAGTAAGAAATAGTAATTTCTATCTAACTTACTTCTACAAAGATAAATCATAGTAAGTTTGACTAGTTATCAATATGTGGCAACATGACATTGGACTACTAAACTTTCTAGATGTAAACTAATCACTAGATTGATGTTGCGACATGCTATTTGTGACTTCTCAACTTCTACAACCTCCATTTGCCACTAAATAAACATTAGACTTAGTCTTACCAATAGAATATTCGTTACTTAGTGAAAGCAATCAAAACTAAACATGAAATCAAAAGTTTTTTCTCTTGGAATCTAGATTTTTGTACAAAAGAAAATAGAAGTGCTCACTCAAATCTTCTAAAACTTCTCTATTTATTCCACCAAGCATAGACATTATAGCTAAACATAGTTATAACTTGATAAACTTAGTTATAGCTAGCTAGACTTAGTCATAACTATCCTAACCATGATTAACTCCTTGCTTAATTCTAGTTTTATTTCACACATACAACATCCGGTCTTACAGAATATACTCGCAATCTGGAGTACAGTGTATTCATCATGATCTAGTTGATCGATACCATGGGTCATATAATTGTTAGGCCGCCTCTTTCCTACATCGCAAGCATTGTCCTTGATGGACTAAATCTGGTCCTTGGCACCCTTTGAGCTATGATGTGACCCCAAATCAAAACAAATTTATACAAGTGCAACAAAAACGCCCTCATTTGACACAATTTGACATCAGATCCAATCTTGCGTGTCACAACCCATCATTTAAGACTCCGTAGAGGAATAACATAATTTCTTTCAAGTCCACAACCATCATCAGCTGAACTGCCACTCATCACGGCTCCGATGATATCACTTCAGGTCTCAACGTCGTTAGTCTTTTGCCGTGAACGCACTAAACCATCTAGATGGGATGTGTCATCACCGATAAGCGCCTCGAACTCCTTCCATGTCAACCATCCTACAACATGGCATGAAGCCGTATAGACACTTCTAGCTTGTTCATTCTAGCCACTCATCAAAACATAACTCGAGTCAAGACGAGCCAGATGACATTATGGAGTATCCTAATGTACATTAATATGGTTCCGGCGATTCTCATAATGACATCATCAGGAGTGAGTTACATTATTCAAATTGTGAATCGTGACTTACTCTATTCTACAAATGGAATGAAAAAAAGTGCATCAAACAAAAAAGCCATACATATTCAGACCGTAAGTCCAGCCTCCTCAAACACTTCCATTGACTAATGAATCAGCACTTGACACGACGACTTCTATTGCAATGGACGTGAACTCTGAAGGCTAATTACTCAACAAAGGTAGTAACAATCGCAACCCAAGGGATGTAGATGATTCGTCACGGTCTTGATTTCACTGGAAGTCAGCAAAACAGATCCGTAACTTCGGGAAAAGGATTGGCTCTGAGGGTCGGGTTTAGGGGTCTACGTACAAACTTCGGCGGGCTGTCGGCGGTCTGTCCGAGCTGCTCGCGCGGCGAGGGCGGACTGTTGTGTGCCTATCGCGCGAAGGGCATAGAATGCCGGTGCCTCTATGGGGGCTCCCTTCGCGAGGGGTCTCTTTGGAAACGTCCTTCCCTGGCACTAATTCAAATTCCTTAGAATTTTTAGAATGCATAGAGGTCCAGAGGCTAAGCCCATGGAACAATCACCCGGCACATCAGCACACGGCCAGCCGATTGCCCATGCAGCGATGCTCGCACCACAGGAGTCTAGTACTCCATTCGGTCAGCATGGCAGGACCAACCTTGCCACCAAGAACAGATGGCCGACAACTCAGCAACTCCCACTCTCATAAGTAGCAATCTCATTCATGAGAGTGGGATTGCTGGAACTCACGGACCAGTACAGACATTGACCACTTCTACTGGTGACCAAGACCAGTTTGTCGACGCAGCCCATCACTTTCCCTCGCAGCCGTCATGTCCTGAAAACTTTGCCAATCTCAATGCCCTCGGATCCATTTTGGCGCCATGTGAATTTAGCATCACAACCTCGCAACTCGACATAAAGCTTTATCAAGAGGATTTTTTTATTCCTTGACAAAGATTCAAGCCATCAAAACCACACCAGGAATCTTCACCATTTGACTCAAAAAAATATAAAATTTCATAATTTATAAATAACTTTGTAAAAAAATCAACTTAATTTGGGAAAATATAATTCCCATTTGAATGATTTAATCAATATTTAATTTTGTGATTTCTCAATATACTTTCTTTCCCACTTATCATACCAATAAGTAATGAAGATAAATTTCATGATAACATTTTCTCATGTAATTGATTAGCGCGGTTAAATATGAAACACAATCATGCGGACTAGAGGCCGGAAAAAAGCAGTTTGAGGGAGCAGATTGTTAAAATTAACCCCTAGTAGAAAGAAGAAAAAGGTTTGATTTTGATCCGAAGTGTAAAACCATACAGACACGATTAGTTGAATGCTACAGATGTACCAAGTACTGTAGAGCACGAAATGTAACCACAATTTCTAAAAAAGAGTTCACTTTTGTGTCCTGGATCATAATCAAATGGGTGATTAGGGTTATGATTCTCGTAGTGACCTGCATGTGATCCAGAGATTTTGCCCAAGGACCTTGCAGGCAAGAATTGCACATTGAGCGCTGGGTGCAGACAGATTGACATCATGCAGACCATAGAAGTCTCATCATTTCTGAAGAAGAAGGTTGTCCAATCTTACCGGAGCTAATGGTTGCATGTTGAAAGTTAGATCTACGAGAGGGAGGTAGGGTCCGAATCTAAATCAATTGATCATTTCTTCCAGAGATGCGGCTGGGATCCCGCACCGCTATAGAGACTGTTGAGAGGTGAGGTCTGCTGAGGTCTGCTGCAGGAAGACGCTCATTGAAGTTCATCTTTCTGCTATTTTACTTGGCCCCCACAAAACAAATTAGGTTCATTTGCAGTTGCAAACAGAAATCTTCTAGCTCCGGTCTGTGAGAGTGTCAAAGACAAGAACGTCCCAGATACCATTTTCTTATTCCACCAATGCGGTCGCACCTCTTCATCGCCATTGAAACTCTTGGGGGCGAATTCTTCTTCTCTTGAAAAATAATATGCTTGTGCCTGCAAACCAGGCCCGGGATTTGGTCGCCGATCTTATCGCTATTCTGAGGAATGGTACCACGTGGGAGACAAGAGAAATCATGACGTGAACTGTTTTCAGGCCGAAAAGTGGAATCAACTCTCCAAAGCTGGAATAGCAGAAGGGGATATAAAGTATGGGAGAGCTCCAGTTTCAAAGCCAATATCGTGCTCGGGTAAGTTATGAAAACCTTAGATTCCTATCTTGCAAGAAGGAAGATCGGTGACAGAATTTACTTCGGCCTTACACAGACAGACGTAAATTTTGAATCAAAATTTTCAAATCTATGTCAATCAAGTTTAAATCAATACGTATGAAGGTGTTTCTCTCCTCCGAGGGAATTTCAATTCTACAGTTTCTCGGATAGAGCTGTATGTGGCAAACGGTGACACCCCAATATGTCCATCTGATATACATTTGCAAGATTTTCTAATTTCCTCGGAAAGTTAGAGCGTACTCCTGAACAGCGTCGTTGTCTTCTTAATGATCAGCGGGTGTAACATTTCTCAAAATTCATTCTACGACTATGAAATCAAATGAACTTTCCAAAATCAAATCTTTCTTGGACGTAACCTTCTTCTCACATCTTACGACAGGTTAAGGAACACAAGCCGATCATTTTGAAAACAAGAGACCACGATCTCTTGGAGGTAGATGAAGATGTAGCCTACGAGTGTTTGACGATCCAAGCAATGTCCAAGCAGCTGGGTCCAAAAAATGACCCACCGGTACGCGTGTTCATGGTCCCGTTGTCCACGAAATTGCTCAAATCCATCATCGACTATTGCAAGTTCCAGGTCGAGTGGCGAGAGTTCGTGCACGACAATCCATCGGAATCACAGAAGGCGAAGCTCAAAGCCTGGGACGCGCAATACGAGAAATTGGACTTCAATTCAATTTGCGACCTCCTTCTGGTTAGAAATCATCTTCCTCCACCTTCCCTCCTCCCATCCTTACATTATTCTATCCAACCGAATTAGGTTATAATCGTTCATCTCTTAATCTCATTGTTGCTTGTAATTCCACATGTAAGGGGTAATTGTTATGGTTTAGGTTAAATTGAGCACATTTCGAATATAGTGTCGAAACCCCAGGATTCAAATTCTCGAGGTCAACCTTGGGTTCTCTCAAGATCCCTTTTGTTATCTTCCTTTCACCGGTTGGGCGTTTAGAGGAATTCCCCTCAACCTAATATTCAATAATGAATACATACCATCAGTGATTTAGCTGCCACAGTTTTGACACCCCGACTTGTGGGCTTGTTTCCTTTCTGCCTCATGTGCTTCACGAGGGAGACTGCCAATGTACTTAATTCGTTGTAACCACGATCTCTCCTATAATCATTGTATAGGCTGCCTCCTATATGGACGTACCAGCTATGACAAAGATGCTGAGCAAGTTAGCGTCAACTAGGATGCCTAGGGGAGCAAAGGAGAATCGTAAAGACCCCAAAGGTGATGGATCTAGCACCCAATCATCGTAAAATTCTCTTCAACCACTGGCTAATAGTCAAATAACAAAATAGACGGTAGATAGAAATGAAATTTAGCTGATCAGGAAGGTAAGAAAACTGTTTTTGATAGAATAATAGACTTTACCTCGATCCAAGCTGATGAAACCTGAAGCATGAGTAAGGAGACGGACTCTGAGATACGTATCTTTATGTTTTAAACTTTTCTCATCTTTTTAACTTGCCTTTCTTAGGAAATTGAATTTCAATAGCAGAGATTGTTATCGTTGCACCGCATAGGAACATGTGAATCTGGATACCGTGCATTTTCTGCTGTGAAGTGCATGACGTACAAAACGCTGTAAACGTAAGATAATTTGACAACGCTGTTTCGTTGGGTGAAAAGGAAATGACGAGATTTCATTTGAAGTGTACAAGAAGGGAGTTCACAGTGATCGTCCAACGCTTCCATACCTACCTCGCTGTGTGCAGAACATGACAAAATTGATGCTGCGATTGGGAGGTCTCCGTAAAACATCCCCTGTCAAGTTCTGCTAAGGAGATGTAACTTCTTCAGATAAGCCATGCTTCAAAGTACGTTGGGTCTCTATGATGGAAGATTGAAGACGTGCAAAGTAATTTAAAATAGACAGTTCGTCGAGATCAACCCGAAACTGACAATTGCCCTCATTAATCAGGTTAGTTAAGATTTACACCACTTTGAGTTGTATTCGAGATCTTGTATTAAGAGTAAATATATATCCTGCAGGTGATGATTCCAACTCCGACTGCCATTTGATTCAAGCTGCAGGCGACCTGCTAATAACTTGCTGCGAGAGTTGGTAAGTTTCTCTTCCTCTTCAAGCACATAATTGTCAAAGTTGCTGCTCTGTACAAAATACATCAAATAACTGGGAAAAAACCAAACGAATTTCGAAGAGATACTAGAGGGCAGCCACTAAACTTTGCATTTGTCGAAAGATTTTGTGGAAGGACAATTCCAAGGAACATCAGGAAAAAAACATACGCACATATGGCAGATGATACGAGAGGAAGACGGCCATGTTCCAAGGGTTCCAACAAATTAATCATACTCTTCTCCTGCTTAAGCAATTCATTTTCCAGTTGTACTACGCTCTAAATACTGAAAACACTTGAATAAGCAATCATAGTGTAATCACATAAGAAGTCCACTCGTCCAAAATATGTGCATGATTCGGTTTATGTAAAGGTTTTGGCCCATAATAAATTAGAGGAAAGACACTTTCACCAACTGGTTACAATGAATGTATAGGAAATGGCATTCTGATAGCAAATTGAGACTCGCCAAAAATGTTGAGTGTAATTCGTCAGACATGCATCACAGTAAAAACCGGAAGGTGCTATTTGCAACAAAAAATGGTACCTTGCATCCAAAGATGTAATCTCATTCACTTTCATGACAACAATAACGCCGTTTTCATGGGCATCTATCTTTTCTGCTATAAACTAACTCGCAAAAAGTTATTGCTCCTTGACAAAGGAGGTTAGGATATTTCTCTTGATGGTAAATTCGTCAACCTTGTTTGGGCTTACGGCCTGCAACACAAAACGTATCCGTGAGCATCAGTCCCCTAGTAATTTTGCAAAAAGTGAACAAAATCAAAGTATGTCATGATCTTCTTCAAAACGATATGTATTCGTATGCAAAACTTCGTACCCCTGATAGGATTCGATCCAGGCGCTCAGCCTCTTTCTTAGCGTAAGAGTCACCCTTCTCCACGATGCTCTTGAAAAACTTGAGATAGGTCTTGGCATGACTGGCACCAAGCAAAAAAAACTGCGATCAGAAACCAAATGTCCCTGCCCACACGAATTTCAAATATATTTGATCGAACCACGAACAAATAAGATCTACTGAGGTGATTTCCAAGCATTTGTACCTCGCGGCAATGCCCTCCAACTTAACAGCAGCTTCTTCAGCTTTCTTCAGAAGGGAAGTCCTCTCTTCAGCGGGCGCAGAAACAAGTTCCTTCGCTACCACATCCAACTCTTCAATTTTACCAGCCTAAAAGACCACACAACGGGTGAGGCGTAAGACATCAAGCACATGAAAACCGTAGGCAGTAAAACTTTTCAGTTGAAATATGCAGAATCGGAATAAGGACAACAACGATCAATGCTCTGCCTTTCTAACAAACTAACGGAGTTTTATATGACTGAGAACTCACGTTTTCTGTGAGGCCACCGGATGGAGTTCGGTGAGTGCCTGCTTGCTCATTCAGGTACTTCACGAAGTCCTCCAAATCTCGGTCAGCATCGTACTCCACACCTTCCTTCTGGTTCTTAGGGAAGAATTTGATGGTGGGAAATCCATGTACTCCGAATCTGGATAAGAAAGAGAAACATTCGTCATTTTCTCAGCTAATCCTAAACGTATAGAATCTAACATTATTTAGATTTAAACCCTCTAAAATCCTACGCGTCTCACATCATACTGCACTTGAATTTGAACAGAATAAGAAGGAAAATACCTCTCACCGAGCTCCCTATGGGCATCAGCATCACACTTGGCAACAACCACATTACTTTCCTTCTTGAAAGCAGTAGCAACTTCTTCGTATACCTGTGGAGAAGTTGGTTTGAGAATCACTTTCAAGTTCAGTGACAAGCAAGTACACTGTACATAAATATGTCTGACACTTCAACTCTCTTGACTAGAAACATGTGTAAGTCCTCGACGTCTCGATCTGCACTGAGAGAGAAGAAGAAGAAGAACTACTTACTGGGGCAAGACTCTTGCAGTGACCACACCTGCGAAAGCGAAAGGGAAATATATTAGAATTTCACCACACTATGAGGTTAATTCTTTTTTGTATACACTGATGCCAAACTTAACCAAAATGCTTTACGACTAAAAAGGACATTGAAGTACATATACGCATCCAAAAAGCCAGACCTACCATGGGGCGTAGAATTCGACCAGTACGTCCTTGGATTTGTCCAAAACAACGGCATCAAAATTCGCAGGAGTCAGAACAACCACATCTGAAGGAGGAGTGCTCAACTTGGCGCGGGTACCTACAGAGAGATATCATAAACGGCAACATCGCAATTAGTTTTCATACCCAAGGATTAAAAAAGCCAAGACAGCTCCAAGGCCTGGAAATATGCATTTATACTGTATCTATAATCAATAAAACGACCCCCATGCTAATCATGTTGTTATATCTCAAAGACATTGTACTACTCCGTGTCTACACAGTATACTCCGTCCTTAGTGTATCACATTGCATGAAAACAATAACCCCTGCGTAGCTATGAGTAAATGGTGGGCTGCTTTGGGCTTGGGATCTAGGCTACTACTATCCGAATACAGCTTCGCCGGCACTATTATAGCGATGTCAGCAACTAGTTGCACTCTGAAGATGATGTTCGTATGATGAAGGGGAGATATGGACAATGAGAAAGTTGGAAATGATACCTGCTTCAGCATTTACAAACTCGGTAAGCGCATCCACGGTGCGGCCGCCAGAGTAACTGAGCAAATGAAAGTGCAAAATATTCCGATTGATAACGAAGATCAGCGGCTGTAATAAACGCAAGGCATCGACAGAATTTCGTCTACTTGCAAAGAGATGTCAAACTGCTGCCGAAAAAAAACCCCGCTAAATACAGTGTGGGCGCTATATCCAGGGTCCAAATAACAAACAAAATCCACAGAGAACCACGCCATACTCACTCCTTAGGTTCCTGGGACCCTGCGGGAAACCACTTCAGGGTTGGAAATCCGGAGACACCGAACTTAGAGCACAAAGGCTTGTGTTGATCACAATCTACCTGCTCAACCGACCAAAAATCATTAGCACTGCCCGGCTCCTCGCTGTGGGACAATGAATCATGTCAGATCACATGATTGCACCATGATTGCACCTTCTCTTAAGGTTACGTAATACAGCTTGACAATTTTTTCCGTCAGAAATGATTCCAAGTAGATCGAAGAAGTAAGATAGCTGACCTTGCCAATCATCACATTCTTTGTTTTCTTGAATGTAGCTCCGAGCTTTTCATACTCGGGAGCCAATTTCTTGCAGTGACCGCACCTGAAATCAATCAAGGGTAGAATCCATTACATCCAGCTCCCGAAGGAGAACACTTCAGAGACATTCCAATCCTTTTCTGCAGACCTTCCTGAGTGCTTCTTAGATTCCTCAAAATGACTCACCATACAATAAATAAAATCACTAAGCACACTGCATCGGATCGGTCCAGACAACCGGCCTAGCAACTATGTCCTGTAATTATGTCTGGACAACTACGCGAATGAAATCATCCCAACAGCCGCTAGACAGCTAAGCCAGACAGTGATTCAAATTAACGGACAGAAAACGTCCAGACTATTTCGGAGACCGAAACCGATCAACATCCTATCACGTCCACCGAGAGAGATCTCTTTAAAATCAGAAGAAAATAATTTTCAAGGTTTCGATTCTCGAAAGAGATACAAAAGAACAACCACTTGACGCAGAGCTCAAACGAGCTTCAACTCAAGAACCTTCACAACATAGACCATGAAAACTCTCGCTGTCGAAGCGTTTACCCACGAACTTACCTAAAATTTGTCACTGCCAACGACAGGCTCGTGGATCTGGCAAAATTACTAGCAGGCTGTCAAATGAAAACCACACATCCGACACAGGCCCAAGAAGCCAATATTTCCTAAAGATCAAATCCAACTCACCACGGAGCGTAGAACTCCACCAAAGCCCCCTTGCTCTGCCCCACCTCGAGATCAAAGTTGTCGGGAGAAAGCACGACGACATCCTCGGCGAAAACCACACTTCCGAAGAGAACCACTGCCGCACAGAGCGCCAGCACTGCGAGCCTGCCCGTCGTCCTCTCCATCTTGGGAAACTACTACTGCTCCGATTCTGGGTGAGCGCAAATTTTGCCCCTGCAGGAAAGTGGCCTCGTCGTTACGGACTCGGCTGCTCAAGCATGAACGAATGACGAGATACGGCCCTTGGCGCTAATGATAACGATGAGTGATCCGATCGATGGAGGCTCCAAAGCTCCCGCGGACCCGCTCGCTTGCGCCACAACCGATGGACTGTTGCCAATCGCCCTCGAAATCGTGCACCTCATGCACTCAATGTCGAGCTCCCAGCGTTGCCGCCGGCGGCCAGCCCAGGCCCCGGCCCCGGCCCCGCGCTGCGCCTGTCCTGACGCCGGGAACTCCCGTCGCAGAATCTGGACTCGTCGCCACGCGGCGCAGTGGAATGCGGTGCCAAGAAGTTTCTCGCGCCCCTCCGTGGGATTTCTTTCCAGCCTTCTCTCTTCTCTCCGTCTCGCACTCGTTCCACTTTCTCGTCCGATCTTGACTGCCTCCTAATCATTTCTTTCCGTCTAATCCCGATTAGAGTCCAATTAGCGAGAAGTCCAAACGAAGGGCCGTCCGTGGTCAGCCGGCACCTATCACGAGGTACCTCTCGGAAAGGATGGCAAGACCTGATGGGACGCTATGAACCAGCGTCACATGGGCATGTCCCAATATCTTCACAATGGCAAATTTGTAATGTTCACTCAAATATAGTAGAACTCAATAGGCAGGAGAATTGGAGAATTTAAAGAATTATCGAATAACTTGACTGCTATGACACCAACCACTCTGTGCATACATCAATGTATGTATACAATTTGTTTAAACTAAGCTAGACAGTGTGAGAAAAGAGCACTCTGTGCATACTTCTGACCGCGACTCGCGGCTCTACCCTCGTGACTGTCTTATACGCGTATATGTCGTACGTAGCCTAGTGCACGACACGGGCTGAGCCGCCTGACTCCACCCCTGGGTTCGGATCTGACTCGAGGTCGAACAGAACAGGACAGAACAGAACAGAAGTTGGAGATTGGCGGGTCTGAGGACTGGGCATGGAGTTCCGTGGTACGTCGCAGGACCAGGGGGAAAGCGACGCCCCTGACCGAGGCTAGACTTTGGTTCTTCGCCGCGAAGAACCAAAGTAATGTGTATGTCAATGTAGTATATCAATGTATGTGACCAGTTTGTTTAAGCTAAGCTACACAAAGTGAGAACAAAATAATAAATTTAGTTATGCAACTAAAATACGATATTCTTCCATATACGAGACTAGTGGATGTTTATAGTTCCGTAAATGTCTAGTCTACGTGAATAAAGAAGTGACCTCTCTATACGCTCTAGTACTGTACATAAAGTTGTTGTTGACTTTCATGCATGAGGATGGATCGTCATTCACTACGAAACTATGTAGCTATCATGTGTACTCCACGTAAGCATATATATGGCTGTTGCATATAATATTCCAGGATGATACACCCGTATGTGAACAACGAAGAAGATGACTATGGTTGGATAAAGCCAAGGTCTCTCGGGTTTCCCCTTCGCTTCATCCAAGTCGGCACCTTGAGTGTTGGTTGTATGTTTCAAAAAAACCAATGCTAAATCAGATCATTGTTCATGTATGAACATTCACAAGCAAAATAGCATCCGCAAAAGGTGTGTTCATGCATAAGAAGGAAAAAAAAACCTCACATCCCACCAGCACTCCTGGAATGTGCAACAGAAAGGTTAAGTTCGTACATTTCTCCGAGATGTTCTTTACATATCCACAGTATTTATGTGTTTCATAACCCTCTTAGAGGATTTTGATATGTGTTTACCCAATATTACCCATACTTACCCATGATATAGGGGGTTAACTTACGCTGTAGGCTACTGGGACATGCTGAAATGTCGGCGCCTCTTGCGGGTGAGCAAATCCAACGCATTCGTTCAATGGATAATAGACACGTGGACTTCTCAACTGAGGGCAGATGTTCCGCCTACAGCAGGCAGTGGAGAGGTTCTCTCTTACGTTGAACACGGAATGACGGGATGGACTCCTCTGATTGGCTCACAACCCAAAATACAGCACAATTATTGGCTCGTAATTTCCTTGTACAGTTCCCTCTATTTTATGCTTTACATTTACAGATCTCATACGTCGTGGTTCTTTCTCTGTTGCCAAACTTACTCAAATCTAAGAGATGTATCCACGTAAGATTGGGTAAAGTCTTCCCATCATTCTTCCTATACTAACTCGTCTCCTCTACTGGTTGGTTTCAGTTCCATGAACTTTTGCTATTGATTCTTTTTGTAGAATCAATAATTTTTGTTTCTCAATGCAAAATTCAAAATTACCGGAGAAATTGGTTTCATTTACGCACAAATTTGTGCTATGATATCATACATACTATAACATATAGTGCCGGAGTTGTTAGAGACAAAAAAGAGATTTCAGAGCACCTCCTCAAATTCAACGAATGTGTTTTCAGTTGAACCTTTGATTGAAAATTGCAATCAGTTTAGTTTAATTGTCCCCATCTTGAGAAAGATGAAATTTCATCATAGCAATATGTGATCTTCTTGTATAAAACCTTTAGTACTCAACATCTGCGACATTTCGAAGAAAGTTGTGAATGCATACTTGGAGATCCTATATATTATATAAATCAAAACATACACAATCATTTGGTTTTATGGAATAATTCATACAGAATTCATGTAGTCTTGTGGGTAAATGATTTCTCCATAGTTAGTTAAATGTTGATCAAAATGAAGCAATTATAAGCATATAATTAAAACAATATTTCTTCTTCTATATGATATTTATAATGCAATAAAACATAATTTTCATTGTTTTCATCAATCCAAAATAGAATTGTATTTTGCCTTAAACGTTGACCATGTTCCACTAATTGTATGCTTTAGTCATTCATCAAATTTTTCTTCATCAACAATTAAAAAAATCGTTAGAATACTGTCATATTCCCTATCACTTCCTATATGTGCGTACTAGTGCAATTAGAGTTCTATGGTTAGGACTAAGATCCAGTGCTAGTAGTCTACAATTAGTTAGGAGTGTTATGTTCAAGGGATGCGACCCGCGGCATGGGTGCAATCCACTCTAAGGATGTGATCCACTATGGAGATTTGTTCCTCTATGTTCGATACATCCCTTGACCTTTCTCGGATTGGGTATTTAAATTCGATCCGGGAACCTATGTTCAACAACAACTCTATCAATCGAATCTTTTCTCACATTCTGTTGATTCTCATCATTGCATTGCTCTATTTCTTTAATATGGTATCAGAGCTGGTTCTACTCTTATTCAAGATTGCTTGAATCAAGACAAGCACGAAGGAAATTTCTTTTTGCGAATCAACTCTTTTGCTCCCTGTTAGAGCAAATTCCCAAGCCCCCAAAACCCCGTCAAGTTCCAAATTTTGGCAACCAAGATCATGATCGTCCGAAGCACCGAACCCATGTCTCTCTCCGAGATTTCTTGTTCAGCGCTAGGCAAACCTAATTTTTTCCAAGTAACTGTCAGTGCTGATAAGAGCACTTGGGATCCCGAATTGAAGAATTGTTTAAAATTTTACTCAAAATTTTTAAGATTCCTAAAATTTAAGCAAATTCACGAATTTGTAAAGTTTTTTGAAAATTTCAAGAATCAAGATTAGCATTTTACACCACACCGTGAAGAACGTGAATCAAAACAAACATTTTGACTAAGATGAATTTTCCATGAGCTTCCATCTGAGTTGCATGGAATGATGCTTCAGATGCAATGGGGAGCATTTTCATTGCTAGAAAGATTAGATAAATTGGATACTTGGAGTTGAAGTATTGATGTACTTCATCGAATTAACTATACGTAACTATACAATTGCATCTAATAGAATCATTGCATTCTCTAAAAATGAAGAGAAACGAGTCTATGGCAAAACACATCATAAAATTTCGTCTTCTTCTCGATTAGTTAATTCCTGTAGGACAGACAATTCTAGATGGAAAAGTTTATAGATGTCTCCTTTGAAGCATTCATATTGAATACCGAACCTTTGTACACTCAATGCAAACAAACGAGACGTTGTTTACACAATCCGTCATATCAAATCTCCTTCTTGAAGAAGCACACCTAAAAAAGGAAGAGCTGACTGATGAAATGGCAACGCTTTACACCACAAAGAGAAAAGCGTGTATTCTCTACAAGCAAAAGCTGCAGCCAAAAAGATCCGAAGAGTTAGATTTTTCATCTTTATCACGACAAGAACTTACATCGAAACCATCTTTTGCCGGACAAAAGATGAAATGCTTCTATATGCAAGAAGCGAATCCATCTGGCAAAGGAGTGTCGGAAGAAGAAGCAAAAAACTCTTCCACACATTATAATGCAAACACCGAGCACCGGTTGTATGTCATCATCGCAATATACTCAATCAGGACGAATTCACCATGACATGTGGATTCAGGTGTCACTCAACACATGACATATAATCAAAATGATTTCGTGACATATACAGAACTCTCATCGGAAAAGTTCGTATATCTAGATGACGACAATCGCTTGGATATTTCATATTTAGCAATGATTCATAAGTACAAATATCTTCACACCATTAGATTTAATTCAAAAGATTTTATAATATACAACCACAGTTGATAATTTATGTTTGCAATAATTAAATTGCAAAATTATTTATTATATCATTTTTTCATATATTTTAAAAATTCCCACATGTTTTAAACACATAATTTTATTTTTTTCAAAAACATTATGAATTCTATAAATAAAAAAAATCTTTAAAACCAAAAAAATATATTTTTAACTACATCAAAAAAGCCAATGTTTTGTAATGAAAGTTTTAAAATTACTTATAAAACTTATTTTTTTGTGCTGTAATAAAAAAATTGTGATTTTTTAAACTACCAACACAGTATATTATTATTTATATTGAAGAAATATGTTCAAAAATCTTTAAAAAAATTTAGCAATACAATTTTAGAATTCTTTTTGAAGTATTTGATTAATCTTTTGAAAATCATCGTATATTAACATATAACAAGTACAGTATTATCAATTTGTCATTCAATTATAATTTTAAAATCTGATTGACATTAAAGTTTATCTAAAATGTTAAATTTTTATGATAATTTTTTTAACTAAATTTTCAAACAATGAGTTTATCATTGTTAAAATATTTTCAAAAATTTATTTCAAGATAAAGCTTCTTAAGTTACTTCCAGTTATTCAAAGTTATAAGTCTAGCATTGTATAAGAACTCAATTACATTTTTCAATCACTCAAAACATGGGATTTATGAGTAAAAAATGTGTTGTTTTATATACATAACCTCATTAAGCTGAACCACATATCTTGCGTATGTCTGTTTGTTTTTATTCGTGTTGAACCCTTACAGTAATTTACGTTCTTATAGATTATGATTATGTTTTTGTATATCAATTCAAGTAAATAAATACTTATTTATATATATAATGTCTTTTCTCTTGATATTGTTAAAGTCATCTTTGTTTAAACAATTGAAATAATTTTACTATTGTGTTGCATATTAAATATGAATGAATAGAAATTAAATGCTATTTCTTGTAAAACGTAATTGATATCATTGATATGTTTAGTAAATTGAATAAATTTTATAAATATTTGATTTTAAAGTAATATAAACATTCTAAAAAGTAAATAATAATAAGAATAAATATTAAATACGCAATTTAATTGGATTTGTAAATATGTTAAAAAGAAATTCTTATATTTTATTGTTTGAAGATTCCATAATAGATTATGAAATAACAATAAAAAATAAAGATAAATATGATATATCGCTATTGTTATTTGTAGTTGTAAAATTATCTTAATATTACACTGAACGATAATCATAGCAATATTATTTTTTATATTCTATCTCTTCAGTGTTAAATTATCCACATTTAAAAAAAAATTACATGTTTTTACGAAATATTGTGTTGTAGAATTTTGAATTTCTTTTCTATCGTTACAATTTTCACATTCGTGAAAAATTTTATTCAATATTTCAATCAGTATGTTATTGATTTTTTTATATGTATTTCTAACATTAAATATTACCATTCAATCAAAACACAAGTATTGAATTAGACAATAAATCAATGACAATCTTAAATCAAATAATGTACATTTTATTCATTAAATTTATAAAAAAATAAAATTATAATTATAAATTTTACAACATTGTCATTTCAATCTGTAAATCATTAATCCAATAAAAATAAGTTATTATTTATTTTCAATTATTGTAGGTTTTGACGTATGAATTTGAATTTTAAATAAATAATTTTTAGTTTTTGTGCTTGGTAAAATGCGTTAAAAATTATTACAAATCTAACTTGTTATAAATTTTTAGATCTCAACAACAAATCTCAAATACTTACTATTTTATTCTAATGTATAAATTTTCTTAAGTAATTGAATTCTATGTTGAATTTAAATATCAGGATAAGTTTATGATGTATGAAAAAAAATGCTACAAAATATACCACAATTGGGGTTATCTATTGGGGTCTTTATAACATATTCACAAGAGTCATACATTTTGAAAACTGGGTCTTAGAAATTTTGATGAAAGAAAAAATTTAACATGAGGTAGTGCAAGTTCATACAACAATACATTTTATCATATATGTAAGAAGAAGAGCTATGTCATCAAGAATAAATTAATATATAACCAACAAATTTGAGTAAGATGTTTTTGAAATCTTTGTGATATTAAATTATTATAAACTTACGTTAGCAAAAAAACTACTAAAATATCAAGAACAATTGTATTTTAAATGAATATATTTAGGCATTAAAATTTTTTCCCTATATTTATGAAAATAACATACAAGATGTCCCAAAAACTAATTTGATATAACAAATTATGTTGTTTTTCTTGGTTAAAATCGATTTTAGTTACAATATTTGAAATTAGTCACTAAGATCTAGTTTGTGGTCATTTGACATGAGATTCACTTTAGAATGCTATGAAGTGTTCTTATTTTTTAATGTTGTTGTCTTTTAAAGAATCTTATACAATAAGTGTAAAGTTGATAATCTATATACTGATGTTTTGATATCTCAATATAATTTGAATACGTCTTGGCCAAAAATCTTGAAAATAGTAACAAATGAATAGTACAAACACTGATGTGTTTTTTCTAAAAACTAATAAAAGAAAAATAACACTAATCAAGCTATAGTCCAATAATATTATGATGAAAGTTGTTTGACACGATTTTGAGATTAATATAATATGTAAAGAAAAAATTATAACAGCATGAATATTTGATTTCAACATTTTGAATATTGCAAAAAGCATGAATATTGCACATATTAATTGATATAATTCTGTAAATATCTAATCCTAAATAATGTCAATCAGTGCTATCAAAAGGGAGATGCAAATACAATGCTTAAGGTAAAGTACGTATTTGTTGATAAACTATGTCGTAAAATACAATGGGCTCTTAAGAATATGTTTAAATTTGCAGGTATAGATTAAATAATCAAGATGTAAATATTCATGCATATTTTATATTCTCAAGGAATCTGGGTATAAAATATAAATTATTTTAAGATAATGGGCAATTATCTATATCTCAAGTACATATAATTATCACCAATGATAGATGCATCATAAATATAAACCAGCAACAGTACTAACTCTTTGTAGAAGTTTATAATATCGACCGTTGTTTCATGTGAAATGTCGAGATTCACTCGTCGTAAATGACATCATATCTTTAATGGCGCTGTAGATATATCATCTACTTAAAAGATAAGCATAAAATCACACTGATATAGGTGTAGGTGTTTAAGTTGAAATTATGAGGATTGATGCAAGTGAGAAAGCCATATTGCCAATATTCAAGAAATTGCATCTTTGCCGCTGCAAGACGTAAGAGATATCTTAGTAATGGTTAGAATGAATGTAAAGGATGTTCACACTGTAAGCCAATGAGAATAGATCGTAAAAATTTAATTACTATATCAATAACAAATACGAAAGATGAGAGCGGATGTGATGACTCGTGAAATAAATCATATATCATATGATTAAAAACATGTGCAAGAGTCTTAATCTTATATCCATGTCATATATTTCAAATGCATTCTATGTGTAATCAGAAAATAACAAGGTGATGAGTGATCAAACTTGATGAAGAATCCTGCGTATGCTATTATCTATGACGAAAGTCTGGTTGCAGAAGAAATTGACTGAAAGCACTATGTAGATGTGCCAATTTTCCTCTCACGCATGATAACAAAGTTGGCACATTGCCATATTTGTACGAAATGACCCAAAAAAAAACTTACATGATACGCATATCAAAATTATTGAAGATTGATAAAAATAACTCCAAGAATTCATATAAAAAGCTTTTGGAGCTAATTACACTATGTTTCTAGCTATATGAAACTATTGTATAAAGATCAAGATATAACGAGACAAAAAATCACGAATGTGGTATAATAAAAAAGAGTTATCTAGTCGAAAAATTTATGTTAAAGTGAGCTATGGTCGGATAGGTAACCGCATCTGTGAAAGGGGCAGAAAATCTACACAGTACCATCATAGCAGACTGCACCTCTACCTCAAAATTGAAATTCAAATGCTGGCTCAAATGCATCATCCCATTTACCATCTAATGTCGAATAAGTAATCGAGTCCGCCTGTTTCAATCCTGTATTGTCTTGGCGGAGTCATGAAATTTACAGCATGAAGCAACAGTCATCTCAAGATTGGACATCCAGAGTCACAAACCTTCGACTTACAAGCATTTTGAAAGAAATGCTGCAATTGAGGTGCGATGAACCAGACCAAATTCCAGAAAGAAGAATCCCCGTCGATCAAGTCATTGGGAAAAAGTGCGGAAAAAGCTAAGTCGAGAGTTCCAATGCACGAGGCGGAAATTCCAAAGCGAGACAGGAACTTTACAGCAGTGAGCCCTGTCTAACTGTTATGCGTGCCAATGCCCGAACACTCTAAAAATGAGCGTCTACATCCTCGGAGGAAATAAGACTCGGAACTTGCATCCTCTAAACCTGGCCCCTTTCTGGTTTCCTCAGATCGAAGTCAAAGCTGCGGTCTTCGGGCAGATAATAAATGCGTCTCCAATTTGAGACAAAGTTGTGTCGGGACCAGGACTGTGCTTAGAAAAGAGGAGTAGCATCGAGGACTTCTGATTTCGCTCGGGACTCCGACATTCAGAAACGACGAGGCAAAAAGAGGAAGAAAAGGTGTCCGGGCCCGGGCCAGGACTTTGGCGAATGTGCTGGGAGAACGATATGCTCTTGCATTGAGAACAATGATGAGTGGAGTAAGTCAGCAGGTCACGGGCAAATCGTTTGAGTAACAGGATGTGGGGAATTTCTGTTTACAGAGAGAAATTGTGTAAAATCCAAGCGGAGAGCAGGATGGAAAGTGTGTAGTGACTGGGATAGCGTGCGTCTCATCTCTCAGGCTCTCGCGAGCGCCGTTTGCCCTCATGATGATGTTTCACTATGCACTCGGGGCCCAAAGTGAACCATCGACGGGCTGGCACGCAGTGAATTCTGACGAACGAAGGAAGGCCACAGAGGGCACGGAGGACAACAGGCGGGCCTGAAGAGGTGGAAGGAAAGAAATTCCGGAGATTAGAATCAGCACACCGCCCGGAGGTTTAGCAGCGTCTTGGCTTGTAATTCGCTGCTTGTTCGAATCCAGTGAGGTAAAACCCATGAACGATAGCTTTAGCTAAACCCAATGGAAACATGCGTGTGGAGGGGACATTCTGATGTAATGTCATGATGGAAGAGTCCACGGCCTCAGAAGCAGAGGAACGAAGTAGAGGGGCAGTCGTGCACTCGTGCGAAAAGATAGGAACACCGGTATGTAGTGCATGTACAATCCGAGGCAGGCACAACGGTGAGGGCAACAGGATGTCTGAAGCTGTTTTGAGGCGAAGAATTGGAGACAGGATTGTTGCAGGAGGGCAACGGACCGGGCGGAGGATTATGGGGCAGGTTAGGAATATGGTGTAGTTTCCCTGTCGAGCTGGGTGCAGAGTTTATGTCACGAAGTGGTGGCACGGTCGCATGTGTTCTGTAGGAATGGGTGTTATGAGTAAGTTTGATGAACAAAGAAGGGCTTGATTTTGTTTCTTGTTCGGGTCGATCATCAGAGTCAGAGCATATGGCTTCTTCACACACTCAAGTGCCGCGCAATGCGGCATCAGTGGCCTCCGATGATGCAGAAACTGCTCTCAAGTAATGCACGAGCCCATCAACTACAGCATCATCTATGGACGCAATCCTTTTGGGAATCCTGAAGTAAAACCATGGCTTTGCGTAAATCAAGTTTGTTTGATGGATGATGGTAAATCCATGATCATCTGATTCGGGTGCCATATTCTTGCTGTCCTGGCAGGCTTTTCTTGCAAGGAAAGTTCGATGAAGCAGAGGCATTTGTTGAAGAAAATGCCAAGACGCGGGAGGCTGTTGTGAGTGCGGTGCCGATTTTCACTCATTGCCACGCTGTCATTCTTTTCGCCAAAGCTGGGATTACGGGTACTGAGGAAGACAGGTGACTTGTTTGATTAGCTTCCTTGCAACCTTTTAAAATTGAAATCCTGAGCATCAAGATGTGATTCAAGAATCAGCCATGTTTATACGAGGAATTACCAACTGTCGAGAATATTCAACTCAAGTGTCTTTCTCCCCAAAAACAGCAAATATACATCTGCACAATTTGAAGGCAGTGCCTAAAATAGTTGTATGTGCTGACCGATCTATGTTTATGAGCAGGAAGCAAGCGGCGGAGCGGCTCACCGAGGCTGCAACAATGGCCAGAGAACACGTACCGACTCAAGGCTGGGTGAAAAGTATAGCAGTATGGGGAATGAGCTATTTTGCCGCGCCCCCAAAACAGGACGACATTTCTGAGGAAGAACTTAGCTGGTGTAAAACTTAGTTCCTCACGAAAATCACTGCTTTTTAATTGTTTAATAAAATGGATGAGAGAAAAGCAGAACCTACAAAGCCGTGCGAATTATCTGAAACAACTGTAGCTTATCTCCATCACATTCTCAAGCATATGCGTTTCTGCAATAGATAGCACCTGTCACCTGATTGTTCATTATACGTGTGTTTTCTTTGTCTGAATTTGTTTTCTATCTGTATGAAATTCCAGTCGCATAATTGAAGCAGAGGCAACGTATTTATTAGCATTATTATGCTTTTTTGAAGAATCTATGGCATCATTCTTCAAGGTATGTGTCTAATGCAACTCTGTTCCAAATCCGTACCTATTATGGCTCCTTGGATTTTTTGTATATCAATGCGATGTGGGCATTGCAAATTCTGATTTTCAGACTGACTCTGTTTTGTAATTCAGGCCGCATTATTGATAAGAAAAGCTATACGGGGGTACAAACATTGCCACACTATCCTTCAGCGTCAGGTAATCCACCTGCAATCCGAAGTGTGTAATATCTCATTTCTATACTTGTAGATGTCACAGCTGATTTTTTTCAATTCAGATGTTTATTTGTCAGAATATCTTGTGTGGATTTGTATCATTTGTGTCCAAACTGAGGTAACGAATAGTTTAGCTAGTAAAGATCCCAGCCTGCAAGGTGCAATTGTTAAAAGGATTATTTCTCTTATGCCTGGAATCAGCAACATGCAAACAGGAGCAAGCATGATGTCGGAGCTGTCCAATTAGGGTTTGGTGGATTCAGCTTGGCGATTTCTATGCTTCCTCCAAAATTGTTACGTCTACTGTCAGTGCTAGGATTTCCCTGCAATCGACAGGCAGGACTTAATTCCATAGACCAAAGCCTGCGAGGTGGTGGCCTTCGGTCATCTGTTGCTGGCGTGTACGTATTATCTTTCTTCTGTCTCTTGAAATAATTGCTGATAGAATTCGATTGACTTTATCCCGAAGCTTAATTTGATCTGTTTATCACTTAGGGGTTGCATTTTTCCATCCCCAATCATGTAACTCTGATCATAAGAGGTCTACACAATTCCCTAACTTCTACTCTTTGACATACTCGGAATTCAAGGATGATAAGTTAAACCTTAATACCTTATGCACTCTTACTTGATAAATAACAGGTTTGAATTCTTACTTGCTTGATTTTTATGTGTGCAGGTTATTACTTTCATACCATGTAGTTCTACCTGCTTTCTTTTCCATACCTCAGGTACTGAGTCAGGCCTAGAGTTGCAGGTGATTGGATGTGTTAGTTTATCAAGGGTTAAATGTCTTCTCTGTTGAAGTTTTTAGTCTTACTTATTTCCAACATAGATGTCAAAACAAACATAATAGAAAGCTTTCCTCATCTCTGGTCAGTGTATTACTTCCTTGTTATCAACGAAGCGGAATCATATCCGTCTGGATTTGATTTACACTAAATATCCATGTATAACATTCTTTTCGTAGGAACGAGAGCAACATGTCCAAGAAGCCGAACGTGTTCTCACCATGTTACAAGACTTGTTTCCAAGCAGTTTCTTTTTGAGGTAAGTTCGGTATGAAGAGTTCGGTTTGAGTAGAAGCATCTCTCGAGGTTCATTCTTGTCTATATACAAAGTTGCCTTAAATTTTGCTACGTTTCAAAAAACGATGATTGTTCCCTTAACTTCAACCATCTCCGTTGTTTCTCTTTAATGTGCAGTTTTTATAGAGGGCGACTGCAAAGACTCAAAGGAGATTTGCAAGGATCAATAGAATGGTTCATGAAACTGGACAAGGTTGAATGCACAGGACCCTACAGTGCGTTTGGTTTGACTTGGATATCTCGTTGGAGTACTTCGTTAGTGCTGTTAATCACGATGTGTCCACTTGTTTGCATGTCATTCATCTAGCAAGCATTCTTGATCTGCATGTGACGTTACATGTTGGGCAAAGGATAAACCTAGTATTTTGAAAGTGCTTCTTCATCAATCTATGTCGCCTATTACTTTAACCCAGTTATCTGATCTAGATTAATCGCCTCATGTGAAACGGAGTCTTCGATATCTGGTCATTGACTACTTTGCTTGGATTACAAAACCTTAGGGTCTTGATTTACAACCGGAATCAAAGTTCTTCAAAGTGCGGCATGCTTGGGTTTACGAGCTTGGCCTTAGTCACATGATGAAACTTGAGGTGGGAGTCTTCATTACCAGTACATCCGTTTTATTGTTGCTTCTCATCTTTGAATTTAGGCTGTGTATCTGGAACTCATCCAAACGTAGTTTGATTAAATATTTTTTCTACACCTCAAAGACGCCGTATCAATCAGTGGTGTTAATGGCTATACCTTTTCCATTGAAGTGGGAAACTGCAGAAAGATATTGGACGGAACTACAGGAAGATAGTGTTTGGTCTCCAGCCTTTTTCGCTTATGTTCATGTAAGTTTCAGGTTGATGAGTTTAAAGTTGAAGCTCCATTCCTCAATCTTTTACCTAATAATAATAACAGTAACCAGAGGCAAGTCTCTAGTCTTGAGGTGCCCATCCAAATGATTTCATTCCGTAAACTTTATTGAGATTCTCGTAAGATTCATCAAGATTTATCTTATTATTTTCGGAACGAATATCTGCTGATTATAAGAGTATATTAGTGATTACAAGATGGCATTTACAACAATTGTTTTGTCCAGTAACCATGGAAGACCATTGTGAAGTGCAGGCTGCTTGCCTTTGCATGCGGGGAGAAACGAAGGCCGCTGCAGATAACTTCTCCAAGGTTCGCATAAATAGACAGTTCTGAGGAAGGTTTTTATACTGTTTTTAACGGTTATACCAGGATATCCAATGTAGATGTTGTAACGACGTGTCATGCAATTTTATGTGACCCATTGCTTCTCAATGAGAACATCTTTTGTTGTTGGCTTCTTTTTATTTTTGATTGCCATAGTGAAAGATACATATTTGCAACTTTCAGGTCAAAGGACTTATGAGGGGAATGTTCTCTGGACGAATCTTAGCAGAGGAACAGTATGCATCAAGAAAAGTAAGCCTTTATTTTGATACCTAATTGTTTGAGTGCTTCAATGATGAGTTGAAGTGACTTCTAAGTTTTTATTTTCTCGGTGGTAACAACAACTTTGCATTTCAATTCATGCTCAAAGAACGATGAACATCAAGAATAGAAAGACTATGATGCAAGGAAGATTAATTCGAACCAATTGAGACGACAAAGATGTTTTGGGATCATGGAAGTTGATGTAAAGATACTTGCCATAATTCTGAGCTTTCTATTATTATGCCATGGTCTTGTTGCAGATCAAAGATCATGCTCTTGACACTGAAGAGGGCTCCAGAAGTTTGCAGGGTCGCTTAAGCGGTGTTGAGTTCCTGTACTTGTGGAACTCTTTCCCCCAGGTACCAACCTAGATCAGCTTTCCGATGTAGACATTATATCTGAGTAGGAGGGGTTGTTAAGTACTATTTTTTACGAGGTTAGATATTTCAAAGTACCAGAAAATGAGTGTCCGTTACTCTTATGTATGTAGCTTACTGCAAATGTACAGAATATCTCATTAGACATTTTGAATTTCAGTGTGAGAATGTGATCCATATGGATCACTTGTAGATGGTGCCTGTCCTGAAGCAGTTCATGTGGACTCCCTTGCACTTGTCATAAGTTCCATTCACTCAATTTAACCCTCAGGTAGATTCTAAGCAATTCTCTTGAGGTCAGAATTCTCAATGTATCACTCCTCTCCATGAACCAATTTCCAACTGCAAGTTAGCTAGATTGTTATTATCACCCCCACATCTCAACAATCCAACAACTTCCATAGGTGTTTTGTTTTGATAGAATGATCACTGGCAAGATTAACTTTCTGACCTGATTCTTGTACTAACACGACATCAATATGTACAATTTTAAGGCTATGAATTCTAAGCTCAGTTTGAGCACGGAAACCATGGTGGCTGGTGACTCTTTAGGCACAAATTCATTCCACAAAAAGGATAACCCTAAAGTTCATCACCATTTACTTCTTATAACTCACCGTCAATCCAATTTACATTTTACTACAACTGAGTCTAACATTTTATCTACTGAGTATATGGTATGACTCAAACTAATTTACAACAAGGCACAATAGTTGTACTCTCCTGGTTCGCATGTGTTTCTCTATATGACTTGTGAAGAATTCATGTGGAGATGACCACAATGGGCTGGTTCTGAAGTAGCAATTGTTGTGCAAGCCCTAGATTGAAATTGGTAAATCTCGTGTATCATTTATCTTTTGCAGTATCTTTCATTTGCATAATCGTAAGGTTGAAGACTAAATAGAAAGCAATCGAAGTGCTCGCCTGACCAAAAAATATTAGATTGTCACGGAAATCTGTTAGTGATCACAGGTGACAAGCATATGTATGTAGGGTAGTACGGTTCACAAAGAGGTTTTTAAGTGCATACACATTTGCTTCATAAAACTACACTTGAAAATATGATATTTTCATTTATTATAGGTACGTGAAAAGCTCTCACTTACTGTTAGTGCTGCCATATTATGTACATAACATTTATAGACTATTCAAGTTAACCAAATTTTGCATTTTGTAGATGCCACCGGAGAAGCTGGAAGAAGTAATAAGGATTATACAGGAAGCAGAGCAAACAATTCGTCAAGGTACACAGGAGGCGGAGGAAGAAGGTGCTGAGAGTGACTCGAAGTCTGCAACTGCGGAGAAATCTGCAGAACAGGTAGGAAATCTTGCCTTCCACATTGAGCGGAAGAGAAATTGAAAACTTTCCTTTACCTTGACAATTCATCAACTTGGACATGCTATGTCGACATGTGTGTTCAAATTTGGTCGTCGTCCAACAAAATCCCTAACTAATCATAAACATAAAAGGAGCCACAGTAGACTTCCGTAGGATTCTTGCCAGACGAATGTGAAGTTCAGGAAGATCCCATTGCAGTTCAACAGATACGAGTGAATATGGAGATTTTCTAGGCCTTCAGGCACTTGAGCAATCTTACATCGGAATTCGAGCCTCTCACAAGAGTTTGATCATAGTGCTGACCTGAAATGGTTGTACATATCATTGACTTGCCATCATAGAAAGACCCAAGCATTGTTAACACCACTTCGGAACACTTCTGACTCATCCTTAAAGATACTGAAGGGAAAGTCCATTAGGTCGTGCAAGCCTCAGGTATCCTGGTAAATCAATATCACAGCAAGAGCAGGGAGTTTCAGAACGAATGGAAAGTTATGAAAGAAAATTATCATGGAGAAGAAAATCAGTATCATATTACTTTCTGGAGGTATCTTCAAGACTTAAAAGAAGACCTAAGGCTTACTTAATATCATCATTATGATCATAACAAGTAGATTGATCATCAGTCTGGCTTGAGCTTCCTCAGGAATCCTGCATAGCCATATCTCATATGCTACTCATTCCCCAGTTGATCTTTTATGCCATTGTTATCTCGACTAACAACTCATCTACATCTGTTTAATTTCAATTTTTGACAAGCTCATCTACATTGCAGGTTTCTGGGTCCAAGGCTGCTCAAGACACGATTTGTTTCAACAACATACGAGCCTTTCTGGTATAATTACATTTTTATCCATATTTGAAAGAAGATATAGATTAAATGGCATTGTTTGCTGGCTTGGTAACGGCGATACAAAGTCAGGTTAGAATTTTAGTAACTTGAAAATAGACCAAGTTATGTGTCAGTTAAGGAAATATTGCTAGCTTCGTCTTTATGTACATTTGTAGTGTGCAACTTAAATGAAGACCTTTAGATTATAATGTTGTCCATTTTCCACATAGTGCACGTGTCCAGTCGCAGTTTTTTCTCAATATTTTATATAATTGGTCGTTTTTTTAAGCAACACTGGAGATAAATTATTTGCGAATCCAAGCTATGAAGGAAGATATTTGGGTCTCTGGTATCTAGTGAACAAGTGTACATGCACCTGAGAACATTTCTTGACCTACGGCTGAATGGTGCAAATTCTAGTAAAACAGCTCTCTAAAAGCTTGGAGGGAGGAACCGTACTAAGGCAGATGAATTGGGTTTCACACTTTGATGGCTATTCAAAGCTTTTTTCTGTAACAACTTCTAAGGGAGTTTATGTTAAGGAATGGAAGCCATGTTGATTTTGTCTGTTAGTCAGCAAGTCTTCAAATCCTTATTTCATGTTTGTCACCTACTTCTTGTGTTGGTGTTCACGTGTGGTGCGAGGGCTGTCGTATCCGTATGCACATCTTATAAGTGTGCTGTGGGCGACCATACTATATCTGTAATCACAGATTGTCTTGGTGTGTAGTTGAACTCAAATGTGACTTTTCGACGTCATGCAATTATTGGTGTTGAAGAAGAAAATTTACTTCTATATTTTCATCCAATCAAATTGGAGACATTTTTATGCTGATGTATTTTCTTTAAAACCGATTCTGGCTCTCTAGGTTACTATAGTGGGCATTTATCCATCTCTTTTGAACTGATATAGGAGGAGGATGAAGAAGACGGAGATGATGATCTTGCACTTTGTATCCTGATGAAAGGAACAGCGTTTCGGGAGTTGGGCAAACTGGACGAAGCACAAGAATGTTTGAACCAAATAAGGTATTTACTGAATTTAAAACCTTTTGTCCATGAAATATTTCTGGGACTTGTTCATGGAAAGACGTCCAACATAGATTTTTGAACTCGTGAGTCTTTCTGGGCAACATCGTTCATGCTGAACTTATCAGCCGATGGGAAGATGTGGTTTATGACATTTACTCATGACAGTATTGAAGCTCAGTCGGTTTCCTTTAGCGTTCCTTTATCTGTCTCATCGTTATACGCTTGTCTAAGCCTGAAGACCATACACCATTATTGCCTGTCACATTCATGGCAGGGAAAGAATATGAATGAAGTCTTCCGAAGCTAGTATGAAAGCTATTATCTCGATTCACCCATATCGCTACTTTAGGAACGCTGACTTAAACTGGCCTTGTGATATATGAAATAGGGAGGAGACTTGTTACTTGGAAACGGAGCTCTTTGTGCTTCCAATGGCTGCATATGAACGTGCTTTACTTTTGATCAATCAACATGCTTATCGTGTTTCCCAGGACCCTCTTCAAAAGTCAAACTTCGATCTTCTAGTGGAGGTAAGTTGTGGCTTATTCTTAACTGCTGTGCTTGAGTCCAAAAACTCTCGCTTTTAATTTCTTACATCCAGTTTTTTAGTACCTGCTTAGAGTTAATTATTACCGTGAAATTGATCCACTAAAAATGTCGAGATCCAGCTTCTATGTTTTGTAATCAATATTACGTCTCAGCCAAGTGTTGTATGAGCATGAGGATCAGCTCATATTCGTGTACTTATCACTTGGAAAAACATAGGCCGAGAAGGAGCTTTCCACAGCAGAAGGTTATAAGCATGACTACAACTTTTTATGGCGCCTCCTGGGACGTGTTCATGCTGCCAGAGGAGCGATTCAAGCTTTCATGGGTGGGGAGGTAAGTCTTTTAGGCTTGGCTCATATTACTTCGAGTAGACATGGATTGAATATCCAAATTTGACGTCCTTAATTAAAACTGTTACAATACTAATATTGACTATATTTTTATCATTGTTTCCATGTTACAAATCTTCTACAGTCAAGTCAATCATCAGACCTATCGAGTACAGAGGATATAGCCAGTGCAGAGTGCCAGTGGATTGATAATGATGACTTCGACATCAACTCACCAAGGACGAGGCAGAAACTGAGAGAGCAAGTAGACTTAGAAGACAAGGACATATTCTTCGATGCTTTATAAATATTGTAGATACAGAATCATTTCAATGTAATAATAATCATTAGATATGAGATAGAAGTTGGTCAATGCAAATTTATTCAAATTTATGGTGTACATAAGTTGGACCTTAAATGCAGTGGGACCTTATATTTCACAAGTTGTAAGACACTGAGTTGATTGCCTCACGGTCATGGGAGCCAGTAAGAGGGAGATAAGGATAGAGAGGATTATAACATGGGTGTGCTAAGCATAAATGTATATTGGTACATTTCCACTATGAATGAAATAAAATTCCTGGATTTCGAGTATCACCACCCTGCTTACATTGGCGAGGAGTGTCTTTGAATTATCGATGTCATCCAACAGGTTCTTCCAACGGTGTATCTTCATCACAGTCATACTTATAATGTGGACTCTACAGTGGGGAAAAATCACATGAAATCCAAACCTGCCCATCTGAGTGAATAGTGTGCATAATCACAAAGGTTTTTTTATTTCTGAATAAGACAGCAGAGGGTTGTGTTTACCCTAGAACCCAGTTCTCCTGAGGTCCTGAAGTAGACAAAATCATTCGTCAAGTAATAAGTGTACGATAAAAGCAAATCAGAGATGAATCCATCATATAGTTTTTTTAAATTAATGTTCCCATGTCCTTCCAAGTACTCAATATTTTCTGCCATGATCATCAATTGCGGGTGCCATAAGACAATAGATTATTGTGATGTATGCTCTACGTAGCTTTAATAAGCCTACTAGCATCCACCGTACTGATCTTAGAAAGGAAATGTGATAGTATCCAATACTTGTCATCTGGATTTTACTATGAAGGGAAGTTGTCTCACATAGGATTGTTGCAATTCTTGTACTAACAATAATAAAATTCTAGATTTTCTTTGATATCTCTTGAGAAAATTGTAGATTTTTAATTTTCTGTTGAGTGAGTAGAACTTATCAAAGAAATCATACAATGTTACAAGAGTAAACACTCTTTCTTTTCCTAGTAGAGATTGAAATTAATTCTATTAGACGATAGAGTCTATTAACTTCCTTAATTTATTCTGTAGTTTACTTTATAGAGCATGTTTGCGTTGTTTTATAAAGACCATTTTACAGCGTTATACATATCAGGTAAATCAAATTAGGTGATGTGATATGAATGCTACCGTTGTGTGTAGATGAATTTATCTTAAAGGTTTAGGTTTTGTAAAGAATGTGATATAAGTCTCATCATCACATGCTATTTTAACCTGGCTCCTCTCCCATTGATTTGGTTCTAACTTGGATTTGATGTTGTCTTCCCATTATTATTGATATCCATGTCACTTTTCGCTATTACTTTTTAGTTTATCTTTGAATGTTATTGAATCAATATTAAATTATAGAGTTTATTCATTGAATTATAATTTCTTATAAGATTTCTAAAAATGCGAAAATTTCTATTTTATTATGTGATGTCATACGAAATTGACATTTTCTCCTTGGTTTGCTTTGCTTCCAAAACATTAATGTCATCTTCATGCATCATTAACATGTGATGTTCTTTGGAAGTATCTATTACTATCTATATTTTCATAAAAGTATGTACTTCAAAGTTTTGAAGAAACTATGTTCAACTTTTAAGCTTAAGATTTCATCATATCAAATGACTTTTTTATACTCGAACTTTGAATTTTTATTACCCGTATTTAACAATTAGCAAACAACTTCAAATATAGAATATGTGATTCAAAAGTGAACTAATACAATAATTTAATGATTTAAAGTATAATCAAGAAATTATAAGACATACATAAAAGAAGATTAAATAATAAATTTATATAGGTATAGCTTCGTGACATTTTTTCAATCATGTAAATTTGACGATAACATTTTTTGTTGCTGTTCATGAAGTACATGCATCAAAATGTATTAACTTTGTTAACATTTTTTTGGGGTCAAATGTATGTTTTAAATGATGGATATGATTAGTGTATTTTCAATTATCAGATGAGATATGTCTGTCAAGCGATTTAAGACATGGCGAAGTAATGTTCATGGTGCATAAAGACCAAAAGTTGCTTGTGTTCATTCACTATTTAATCAATGTAGTTTTGTTGCCAAGAAACTTCCAAAGGATTTTGATATTTCATAAATACATCCCGTTATTTTTAAAATTGCAAATTCATCAGGTAAGAAAGGAGTTACTCGTCTTGTTGAACTTCGAACTTCATTAGATTGCAAAGTGCTTCCAAAACATGCACAACTTCAAGCCAATCCAACCGATCAATTTTAACAAGTTCGTCGGAGTATTAGGATCTCGACTTGCAGGTGTTTCGGTTGAAACGGAATTTTAGGATCTACAACTTTGTAGTGGGTTCGGTGGAATCCATCAGACTTCAGGAAGCAAGTTCTCAAAATTGTAGTTGTATAAATTAATGGTGCAAGAGCAATAATTATTTATTATTAACTAAATAATAAATAGTTATTTTTAACCAAAATAACTATTTAATAACTTTTAACAACCGACTAAACGAGAATGTTGAACTTCTATCACTCTCTAGTTACGCCAAGTAGATGAAGAATTTTTTTTTTTTTTCAAAATACGTAATTTCTTGAAAACCAAATATGGAAATCACGAAAATCCATTTACGGGAGTTCCGTATTTAGAGAGGCTGGGTATGGTGTATTACATTTTATTTTAGTATTGTGAGATGTCAGATACTCGATCGCCGAGTTGATGGGGTAATTGTTTAATTCCTTGTTATTTGAAAGACGGGAGGTATTTTATACTGTTGATTGATTTCAAGATAATTGATTATACACAAATCATATCCATCATCATCTCATATATTATGCTTTATATTTTGAGTATTGTATTGTTATTTCATCATTTTTTTGTTTTTATGCTGGGACTCGTATCTATCTCCGGTGATTATTTGAGAAGCCGACTTGACCACGAGAGGACGCGAGCACTTACTGAACATGGTTGTCCAGCTCGCGGGATCGCAGGACAGAACTCTAGAACCACGTAGATCTGGGAACTGCGACTGCTGCGAGGCTGTTCCGTGGGGCGACGTCACCGCAGAGCGTGTCATTCTGTGCTCTGAGAACCTCCACAACACTCCCTCCCCTCCACTCACAGTCTCAGCTGCTGCCCCGCACTCCACCGACTTGGCGACTCCGACATTTACTCTGTCCTCCTTTACAGCTCCAGCTCCAGCTGAATTCAATTGAACTGGTCCGACTTGAATGTGCTCTGCCTCGTTGAATCCCATCATTCCCACTTCCCAGCTCGCTCCGACCCTCAGTCATCTGCGCCCCTCTGATTCCTTCATTTACTCAGTTGCCTTGATCGTTCTGTAATTCTCGAGACAGAGTTTTGCGTCGGAGAGTGGAGCTGGTCATTCGTCCGAGGACAATTTCTTTGGATTCGTGGGGTGCTTGGATTTCGACAGAGAGAGAGAAGGAGAAGGAGACATAGGAGTATGACATCCGTGCCTGGGGAAAGGCCGGTGACTGTGGAAATCCGGGATCTGAAGTTTACTTATCCGGGAATAGACGGGCACCCCCCTCCAGGTGCCAAGCCGTTGATCGAAGATTTCTCCCTCACATTGAGAGCAGGGGATCGTTGCCTTCTGGTTGGCGCCAATGGAGCAGGTATGCGAGCTGTGCATCCCTCCCCGAAGGTTTCTGTGCTCTGTTCAATTGTTTACCTTGCGGACACATATTTTTGTTTTTTTCTACGGGCTAAGTTTTCTGAAAGAATGGTGACCGTCCCAGAATTGCACTTCTAGACCGCTGACACACCGACTGCTCCTTGTCAAGCTCACGCACTGCATGACGATCATAATGTCACCCACCATACTTACATTTGCAGAGAGATTTGCTTGCTTAACTCGAAAATTTAGCTGGACCAGAGTAGGCAACGTGTTTCTGACTCGCTTGTTACCCTCATCGACATGTTGAAATTCATGCACCGTGGGTGGGGTGAAGTGCAGGCAAAACTACTCTGTTGAAAATTCTGGGGGGAAAGCACATGGTTGAGCCGGATATGGTCCGAGTCCTGGGAAGATCAGCATTTCACGACACGGGTCTCACGACCAGTGGAGATTTGGCTTATCTAGGCGGAGAAGTACGTGATTGCATCGAGCAGATTTTTATGGTTTTTCTTCATTTTGGATGAAGACCCCGCTTGGAGAGAACTTAGCTGTACATTTGTCGAAGTGGGCCGTTGCCAGTTCTCTGTATTGAGGTTACATTTCGGCCCTTCTTATTGTTTTGGCAGTGGAGGAGGGATGTGGCGTTCGCTGGCTTCGATGTGCCTCTACAGATGGACATTGCATCTGAGAAGATGATTTTTGGTGTGCAAGGTGTTGATCCCGAAAGAAGGGCCAAGCTTATTAAGGTATAGAACCGCTTTTCAGCACATTTTCTTCCTGCTTTTTGTACCTGGGGAAAAATAAATGGATGGACGCATTTACGATCTTTTAATCGGTCTCTTTGTCGCCCTAGGTGCTGGATATCGATCTCAACTGGCGGATGCACATTGTGTCAGACGGGCAGCGACGGAGAGTTCAGATCTGTATGGGTCTTCTACGGCCTTACAAGGTACAAGGTTTTATTGAGCACCCTCTTCTTTTCTGGTCGTGCCAGTTTTCTTGTCGACCGTTGAAAGCTACACCGAATGTTTTCACCAACGACCGACTGTGCAGCATCAGTCGGGCAGTCTTATATCCATGGCCTCGTAGCCAAATTTGCATTCTGGCTGAGCAAACCTACCAAGCTAGGTTTTCTGTTGTGAGAGTCAACCTCTCAAACTGAATGTCTGAGAGCTTGAATTGTCATTTTTCACCCACCCGTCTTGTCTTGCTAAGGTTCACCGAGGAGAGGAGTGCTGCCTGTGACGTTGTTTGTCAAGTCGCGCACGAGCTGCGTCTACATTACTCTGTCTTTAATTTTATTTGTTCTAAAATCGCTAATATGTGCTTTGGTTTTGGTAGGTGCTTCTACTGGATGAAATCACCGTAGACCTTGATGTCTTAGCAAGAGCTGACTTAATCAGCTTTCTGAAAGAAGAATGTGAACAAAATGGAGCCACCATCATTTACGCCACTCACATTTTTGATGGTCTGGAATCATGGCCCACACATATGGTATGAACCGGCTTCCGAGTGTATGAAGATTGAGAGCTGAATCTTCAGCTGGGTCTGTGTTGAAATTCCCTAGGATCTGCTGGTCAAGGTCTTGAGTGTTTACTTCAAACGTGTGCTGTATCTAAGAGGCAGACTTGCCGGGGCGTGATTGCAGGCGTACGTTGCAGATGGGAAATTGCAGCTTGCTAAGCCCATTGGGGAAATTAGCGACTTGAAAGAGCTCTCACTCATGGTACGCATTTCTTTCTCTGATCTAGGCGACTTTATTGTGGATGACATCCTTCAGACCTACAGTCTTAGCAGAACTACGTAAGTCTTTGCAGATGAGAAGATGCAGCTTACAAAATTCACAGTAAAAACTACGGATTCGAACAAGCGCTCACTCGTGGTATGCAGTTTCCTCTCCGGGGGAGCTGACCTTAGTGGCTATGGCGTCCTGGAGACATCAAGTATTAGCATAATTGTTCAATATCCGTTCAAAATTTAGTGAAAGTCGACCCCATTTTTACTAGTTTTATGTTTGTTCTAGCACTTGTTGCTTGAGAGCTGAATGTGTAGCTAGGTCTGTGCTGATCCTGAACTGAACCTGCTTTTCTGAGGTCTAAAACGGAACTTGGCCTTTGGTTTTCAGAGAGCTATTGAGAAATGGCTGAGGAAAGAATTAGAAGAGCAAAGGCGCATCAGAAAGCTAAGGCGAGCACAAGGTCTGCCCGAGTACGACAGGCCAGTCGAGGGATCAAGAGTTGCTGGAGGAGATCCAGCAAAGGCTCAACTCCTGAACAATGGGTGGGCTGGGGGTCGTTTACATTCTACTCTTGCTGGTGAAGACAAGGCTCAGTTATACGATCTGAGCTCGAACAGAGTGTTAAGATAGACGAGCGCCGCATTAATTCTGTAGATTGTTAGACTGTGTTACAGTTGTCTCAAAGGGCCGTTTTTCATTCGTCTAGCAGTAGTTGAAGACTGTTAATGATCTTTGTCCAGTAGTTTATTCTTTCTATTGTTTGAGCTTTGTAGCGAGCTCCCCATTCATCGAACATCACCAGACAGCAGGCTAGATTCAGCAGAGCAATGATAGGTTTTAGGAATGTTGACCAAAGGTCACGCTTCTCATTTGTATTCTCAAAGTCAAATTATACATCAAGAGAGTGTTATGCACACATTTGTCCTTATTTTTAATGCACATGCACAATGATCGAGTTTCGACAGTTAACTTGATGCCTTCGAACGAGTGCACTAGGGCACACAGTGTAAGACATCCATAACTGTCTCTGAGGGGAACATACGACGGTTGAGTGCAGTCTGGTCAGGTAAAAGAACCAGTAATCCGAATCCAACTCGACTTATCTCCGAGGTCTCACCTTTCCACACGAGGGGAGATTGTCGGATATTTTTCCACACAAAAAACCTGGGATATAGACGACGAAGATCGAGGTGAACTCCTTGTCAACAAGCGCGTTTCAATCGATTTGTTCGCTGAGGGCAGTTGGCCGCTGCAAACGATGTAAAACCAATACGGTTTCAAAGCACCCACCCAGAGCCAGATTCTTTGAAAATGTGTTGTCTTGATAACGTATCCACCGAACCTCTTGACATCTCACAAAGGAAAAGCATATTAACTAACTCACAGAATCCTCGGAAAACGGTGAGAGATGTGTATTGCACGCAAGGTATACGCACGTAAGGTAAGGAACTTCGGTAGGTGAAATAGTGACTGTGCTTTAAGGAGAAGAGTGTGTCACAGTGGAGACAGATCAGCTCGTTATGTACGCTTGACGCTCTTCTGCCCAACTTGTGGAGGGACTGTATTGTTGGCATGTATGAATTTTCGGAAGAACTTGAACAGCGTCTACGATTCTTCTTCCACTGTGAAGTTCGATTGCGGCTAAGCTGCACATGATCGATCGAAGCCATCGCACTTCATGCGGAGAGAGGAAGGAGCTTGAGTGGTCTTTGCAGCTGGGTTTGAAGTGAAGTTAGTTTGAGATTTTCTGGTGAAGACTGCTTTGTATCTTTGGAGAAAAAGTAAAACCCTTTTACGGTTTGAAGTTTGAGTGGATGTCAATTGTTGCACTTGTATACAAGCTTTTAATTCACATATTTTGGAGAGAAACAACGACTTTATGCTCTATAGGTTTCATTTACTGTTAGACTTTCCTTAAGTGATGTTAAATGAAACTTTGTAGGCTTATGTTTTGTTATTTCATGAACGATAGACAACTGCAATATAACAATTATTCTGAGAGTGCTCACTTTGAAATTAGATATGTCAAAAATCATGCTTTGCTTGAACTCTCAAATGGTTGCTTTCACTCCATGCATTTCATCGTCATGCGGAGGAAAAGAATATGAGTGACAAAATAATTTTGCTATATTTTGATAAACTTTTACCAAGTTCAGATCTTATTTACCTGGAGTTAAGAGAGGAGAGAGAAAACTGAACCTTACTATATTACAGTTTGATGCTATAAATTCGTTTAACTTTGTCAGTTTCATGACATATTCAACATGATGTCTGCATACATTTGTAATATTCAAAAATTTCCGATGAGGCTACAGCATCATATCTTGAAGTCAACGTTTACGTCATCGTAGTATGAGGTCTTCTTACTTCAATCCTGACCGGACATTGAGAACAGAAAGAGCCTCCAGATTATTATGACCAAGCGGATTTCAATCTCACATGTCCGCCTGGTCTAGCCTGGGCCGCCTGGCGCAGTTATTGGCAAGTTGACACATTCGGTCGCCTCGACGCTTTCATAGGCAAATTGACATGGCACAAACCGTGAAGAAGAGGAAGACAAGCGGTACACACTCTTCCACAACAACGTCTCAGCAGAAACAATTGCTTGAATTTGGCCTTGAGATCACACACGTTGTGACATGCGTTGTTTGCTGTTACGAGCGCAATCGGACCAGCAACATCAAATATTGGAATCCGCCGTTTCGCAAGGAGAACTTTGCCGGTCATCTCACGTCGCGGCATCCTGATAATTTGCCAAGTATAAGGCTCTCAATAATCAAGAAAAGAAGACATTCTTTGATGTTAAGAATCGCGCCTAGTAATCAATGCACCTATATCTTAACTCAATGCAAACGATGCTAACCATCCCTATATTAAAGGGTATTGTGATGGGGACATGTTCTTCAAGCCGGAGCTAGACGAGGACGACAAAGAGATGAAGTTGATCACTAATATCAATGCCTTGAAGTTGTTTCAACAGCAGCATGATGGTTCCTACTTGGCCAAGATCAGCAATGCGATCTTGTACAATTTGACATTATAGCACACGTCAGTCGGCTTGTAGTTCAAGCATACGTCTTTTATGATTGTCCAATCATAGCCGATGTCTGCTTGAACAACACAAGGACGTGTCGTGCGAATACATATTGTCATACATACACACAATCATAGACAAGAGCATACACAAATACAAGTGTATCACATGTATGATGCAGCATGATATTCACGATGATGCATTAATATTGGAGTTACTACGGACTAGTATGGTGCGAGACATATTGAGTGCCAAACAGCGAGATCGTGTGATCTCCTATGAGCGAAGATGTATTAGTTTGAGAAAACACATGTGCTCATGAGTGTGGAAGAATGTTAGGATACTAGTGGTAGGATGAAATTTTTACCAATGCATGCTTACCATGGAAACATGAGAACTGGTGCAAACCTGCTGTAATCTTTATCGAGATGATTTATTCGAAAGTTACATCTAAGGTCGTATTTTCAAATCAATACTTTCTTCTGAATATACAATACAGTTCACTTGATTCTTCTTGGAAACAGTGGCTCGGAGAGTTCATATCATAACTTTGATCATCATTGTAAGAATGAATGACTATTGTGATAGTCCACAACCTCAAACAATTAGACACATTTATCGTCTACCTTGTAATGCCAAACAAAGTAGGAAGTGTTCAATTTTCTCTCAAAAGCCAATCCATCGCTAGTACTCCTCTATGTATCAATTTTTGACTTGGCAAAAATGCATGAGTGCGCAGTGGTGGAAATTCCCGATCCGTGAACCTGATTTCAAGTATTGTGTTATCCTTAAAAATTCAAGTAATACCTAGTAAGAACACACACATTTCTCTGCCTTTTACTTCTCATATGGCAAACAACAAGCAGGGATGAAGACTTCAAGATCAACCCTGACAACACTTGAAGAAACCTGAACGACACCTTTTTGAAGATTATACGTCTGCTAGAATTCTCACTATGCGCTCTGAAGTTTGATACTATGATATCACACTCCTCTACCACAATGAGAAAATGAAATTGACAAAGGAAGTTGTTGCATGCCAAGTTCTTCGACACCACAAGATATTAAGCTTCTTGAAACCCCAAACTCTTTCAACAGAAGCTTCCAACAACTTGCAATCTCATTCTTGAAGGAATTACATCCGATCAACAGTCTGACACACCAAACACACCAGCGCCTATCCACGATTGACTCCTTCGACACTGAAGCGGTTAGTGTGCAAGCAAGGATTACTGTCCGATAGTTGCCGCTGTTGATGCTACTCTTCTTCGGGTTTGCTACACCTCCTCCTCCTACTTGCTGCCTCACGTTTTAATACTCCTCATCGGTCATGACTATACTCGCTTTCAATCGATCACTCGGCAGAGTTGATAGTAGGTCAAATCAGTCGTAGAACAAAATGACATGAATTGAATGGACGCTCCCCGTCTCTCTCTCCACGTAACAAATCTAAATCTCCCATCAAGCCAACCGTAATACATAAACAAAATTGAATTCACAAATTCCAAAAAATTTAGGTCTAGAGTCCAAGTTTTAATACTTAACCAAGACAAAACACGGCTCCTTGTTGCCGTTGTACAGTGAATTCTTTGAGTGAAATTCTGTGAATGACATACTGTCATAAACACAAAATGGAAGATCACAAACAGTCCAACCAAGCCCACTCTACTACTAGGAAAATGCAAGCCGATGCTAATGGATATCTCAATATCCAAGTGCTACTCACGAAAGAACTATCTCCCAACGCTGAAGTTTCAGCTCAAAGAACTAACCGTTCTTTGAGCCACACAAGATAAAATACCTCTCACATATAGGATGGTGGATCCCACCAAGAATCACCCTCACTAGATCACTCTCAAATCCTAATATGCATGGAATCACATCCAACTAGGTATGTATTTCCATAGCACTGTATATATCATGATAAACCTACATATGGTCATGCAAGACGTGTTTGGCAACAAAAACTTGATGGAACTCAATGTCATGATGTTAGCAAGATGGTATGTGTCAATGTCGGCGCCATCCTGCAGGTACTGTTGGATGTCCTGAACAACCACAATGTTTGGGCGTTTTAGCCCGTCGACTATTGGAGTACTCATCAAGGCATGTCATTTTTTGATGTGCGCAGCCGGAATTGTGTCGATGATCATTTGTTCAACATCCATATGGTTGTAATTCCATTCTATGATCAGCATTCGATCATAAACATCTGTAAGAAGCTTTGCAGTTCTTGGAGGCACAAGCTGTTTTTGGTCAAGACAAACAATTAGGTTATCATCACTGGATGGAATAGCGGATTTGTGACGCTCAAGTACAAGGAGTATGCCAACGAGATCTTCTGCGTATGATGTCTTGCTCATCAAATGAACCTTGTTATTCAAGATGCAACGGTCATGATCAGCAACGGCGCATTCATCAAAATAACACACAATTTCACGATGCATCTCCGCCAACATGTCAATTTATAGCTCGTGATGGGCAACAAGTGCCCAATCGACACAAATGGTTGGGCACACTTCCAAGGCAATTTGCATTGGCTGAAGATGAATTGCATTAAGTTGTTGAAATGGATAAAGTAACGGCAACACACCTTGTTGCTGATTATCAAGTATTCGATCATTGCGTGTATCATCAATTTTCTCACCAAGGCGTGCAATGTCACACTCGTCAATTTGCAACAACGCAACCTCAATCTGTTGAAGTTAATCAAATATATTGAACAGCTGATCGATAATATTCTTGTAATGGTCTACATCTAACATAAAAAAACAATAAGGCGATGCAGCGGAATGATCGTGAGGAGAACAATTACCTCAAACTTGGCGTGCGATGAGTCAGGTTTAAGTATGTCAAGGATCAAGAGAACTAGGTCAAGGACTTAATCATGTTATAGTTGTGTTTAAAAAATCTGGCGTTTTATTTTTAGCCGCCAGATTTGCTAGAATCAATCCGGCCAATATGCCAAAATTAATCATGCATCTTTAGTCGACACTTGTATGAAGTTTTGCGCAAGAATACAAGGATAAGGCGGGAGATGAAGGCGGGAAGAACGTAGAGAATCTTGCAAGCATGCAAGGAGAGGCGGGAAATAGATAGCAGGAAGGAGTATCTTAGGTTATGAATGCATTCTTTCGATGTTTTCTTGTCTCAAACGCAAGCATTCAAGTCACAACGAAGCTTTTGTAATCCATCATGAGTCAAAAAACGACGTTTCAAATCAAACATGGTATTGAGTTTGGTCTGCAACCGATTCAACAGTCTGTACAAGTAACCATCACAATTGTTCTGAGTCTATTTTGCATCCATCAATCGTGAAAAACGCGATGGTGCAGATGTGAAACGACAACGAACCAAGAACACGCAACTATTCAAGTTTCTGTTTCATCTTGAAGCCTACAAAAATCACTTGAAGTCTCAGCATCCTGAGGACTGAACCAATTATCAACTGCTTTTGTATCAAGAAAATGTTAGTTTCTTCAAGACAAAAGATTTATCAAGCATACACCGTTTCCTAGACATAGACAATGACACTCTTCAATTTGTAATTTCTCAGTCTCCAATCGTTGATGTTGTGTTGGGAGATTTGTTTTTTCATCCAGAAGATGACGAAGACGACGATGCGTTCCAACCAATCACCAAGGCCAACGCCATGAAGTTATTCAAACTACAACCAAACGAATCATATTTGGTTACAATCAATAACTCTTTGCGATTCAACCTTGTCATGCAACACAATTCTGTTTGATTGTCATTTAGACATACGTCCAAGATGATTGAACAACATCGTGTAGCGACCAAGAATCCAAAAGTAAACGGCCCCAACGATCATACGGTGAGTAAGTTCGTGTGTGTGCTCCTTGCCATCGTCTTGCGGATCATCTCTAATATACTCATGGATCCAAACATTTGGGCGTTTTCTCTAGCGGCTATTGCAAGCACAAATTTAGGAGTTCTAGTCCTTGACCATTGGATTCGTGTGTGCATGAAAGGCGTGCTGTACAACTTCCACTTCGTACATGTTCTATTCTTAGAACGCCATACTGCTCAAAACTATGTCAAGCTCATCAAGACTCTACTTGACAGCGTGTGTACATCTTGACGTGACAAGATCATTTCAATCAGTATAGATATAGAAAACAAAATGGTAGGTAGGCACGCTGGATTTGTCACATTGCTTGAGAAGGAATGTTCCATTCATGTGCTTCGTATTTGGTGCGTTGCTCATCAGCTTGATATTGTCATAAAAAATGCCACACATGGTGTGTTGAACGAGATGTTTTATACGGTTGACCATGCGTTTTCTCCGCATCTTCGAGCTCAACAAAATCTCATTAACAAAATGGATTCCAAATGTACAACAAGATGGGTGGCATTTGGCAATATTCTGTTGGCTTCTGGAACATCGTTGTCTGTTGATGATTCACTCGGAGAACAGAGGACCTATCCAAGCCCCGTCAATGCAATGATGGATCATTGCAGGAGCTCTATCAACATTGTTTGAGCGGATTGCCGCCACTATCTCCTCAAACTAATCTCCAAAGCTCATCATCTCTCAACAGCGCCAAGAGTTGGCGAAGTTGATGACAGACATTGCAGATAGTTTGGATATTTGTTCTACTACAGATGCATTGCTGAACGAAATTGATTCCATCACAATCGTTCACCAAGATGGTTTGTTTGTAACAAAAAATTCTTTTTTCATGAATATATTAGACCAAGGTTCTTGGGCAAAGTATCTGTATTATGAGCTTTCAGGATTTGAACAACAACACACATTCGAGTAGATAGGTACTTTTTCATTCTCTATTGTGGCAAACGGATTGCAAATGAAGGCAGAACGTGGTTCTAACAATCATGTCGAGGAAGTGGAAGCGCAACATGTGATGCCAACAAATTTAGTCAAGATGCGTCCTGCCTTATTTTTCAGCGAGGTCGTGGATCAATACATGGCACACCTTAGCAAGCACTAGAGCATTGACATGATCGACAAGACGGATAGTGAACACCCTGACCTTCTACTTGTTTACGGGTGTGAGCTGCAACCTCCGGGCTGACTCTCACTAAGGTTTACGTCAGACAACTTTTTGGTAGCTCATCATGGTTCTAGAAGACTAGGATTCCTCCTCATACTCAAAGCCCAAACATACTCTCACACAACTTCTCAATGTATAATTCCAACTCACACACTCATAGACACTCTAAGGTACTGAAAATTTGTCACTCTTTCGTATATGAAACAAGTCTCTACATATAAACTCTTCAAACCTGCTTGAGAGTCTATTCCATAGCTCTCTATATATACTACTTGAGAAATTACCATAGTAAAAAATGGTAATTCCTATCTAAATTATTTTTACAAAGATAAACAATAGTAAGATTGACTAGTTATCAATATGTTGCAACATGCCATTGGCCTCGTAAACCTTCTAGATGTTTACTCATCCCTAGATTGAGGTGGCGACGTGCCATTTGTTACTTTTCAACTTCTAGAACTTCCACTTTACACTAAGTTACCATTAGATTTAGTCTAACCAATGGAATACTCCTTACTTAGTGAAACCAAAAGTAAACATGAAGTCAAAAGTATGTTCTCTTGGAATCTAGACTTTTGTAGAAGACAAAATAGAAGTGCTCACTCAAATCTTCTAGAACTTCTCTAATTATTCCGCCAAGTATAGCATTATAGCTAAACATAGTTATGACAAGATACATTTAGTTATAACTAACTAGTTTAGTCATAACTAGTTAGACTTAGCTATAACTATCATAACCATGATTAACTCCTTGGCTACTTCTAGTTTTATTTCATACATACAACATCCGGTCTTACAGAACTGAATGTGAAGGAGACTATGACAAGCACAGCAATAAAACTTTCTTCAACGAGACATGGGATTGTTTAAATGGACGCTTCCTGCAATTGCATGCGACAGCTGTGCGGTGGACTGGCTACTGCTTTTCCAAATACTGCCCGAGTTGAAAGCGATTTCTCCATTATCAATTGAGAGAAAGATGAGTCACGAACAAGGCTCACAAGTATTTCTTTGGCAGACATTATGCATGCAAAGCAATTCGAAACGCTAGAAACTGCACTAGCCAACCACCATAGTGAAATTAGTGTTAAAGCCAAATATGCTAGAATTAAATAGAGAAATTTTCCAAAACTAAAACTTGGCATTTGTCAGATTTTAGTAAGTCTGTGTTACTGACTGATGAAGACAAGATTGAATTGTTGTGCGAGATCTAAGTGCAAGCGTTGCGCCTTGTCAAGGTTAATGCTTGTCTTATTCAATCTTGTCAAGTAATTTGACAAAATGATCACTAAAGCACCGTTTTGAGTAAATCCTAATTTTCCGCACTTGAAACGACTAATTTAGCTTATTTTGTAAAAATTAGTACTTCTACTAATTTTATGAGTCCTAGATTACTTAGAGATATAATAAGTTTATGTGGTCGAGATCTTTGATAACTCTCTTATATAACAACAAACTAACTAGCTTAATTAACCAAGAGTAAGCTAACTAGAGTTAACCAAAGCTTAAATTAACTCATAATAGCAAAATATTGTAGGTAAAAAACTTTTTATATTGAAAAAACTTATCACTACTCTCTATTTTTATTTTTAAAATAAAATATGAATTATTTGTTTAGTATACTCAAAATTGATCGTAATAACTTATTAACATTTTGATAACCTTTTTTTTAATCAATGATCTAGGTTTTTAATTCATAAGATGAAATGCAATGGATTTTATACATCTATTTTACATTACATGGAGCATAAACAACTCTAATTTCAGCAAAAAAAAATATTTTCTCTTGTATCTTATAGATGATATGTCTGGTAAAAATTAAGAATATCAGAATTCTAATGCTTATTCAGAAATTTAGGTTCAACATGTACAATTTGATCTCCACATGATTTGTTGTTAGATCAAAGTTTTTTTAAATTACTGAGTACAGAACTTTTTATCCCCGTCGTGCTTCAAGTAAATACTTGACAACATATATTATTTATGACTAATTTCAACAGTTTTCGTGTGTTGATTGATTCATGTTTAACTTTATATTTAAATTACAGAAAAAAAATCAATTTCCAAGAAAAAACTACTTTATAAAATAAATATCATTGTATTGATAGGAATATATACTTTGATGATTATAATTTAAACTATTTTTTATTGCAAAGCTCAAAAAATGTTGATATCATTGTTTACATGATTGTTGAAATTAAATACATCCCTCTTTACGAACATGAGAATGGAATGACCATCACATGATTGGGTTTTATTCGAGCGAACCAATGGGAATGTCGGAGAAGAAGGACCAGTCAGGTTGGAGAACAAGGACAGTCAGTTTTCGGCCCTGAGCAGAACAAGGACTAGCCGGATCTGGCCAATCTGGTCAGGGACGAAAATGGCGGTGCTGGAACCTGTCCTTTGGAGACGCCGGGCCATCGCTGGTCAAACGTTTCCTCCTCCAGGTTAAGAGCATGCTAACGGGTTTCTTTCATGACAAGTAGCCCGTCAAAATCGTTGGTGCGCCCGGACGACGTCGTCCCTCGTTCCACATGCATCCAGTTCCAAGTAACCTTCACCATAGTCATGCCAGGCGCGAGTTTCCAATGTACCGAGTGAGCGATCGTACTGCAGTTTAGGCCATTCGCCTGCACCACGTACGCCGATCAACCACCAACGCGGTAAAGGAAGAGAAACGAAAGAGACGTCCGCCAGTGGCATGCACTGGCGCTGGCTGCACTGCAGCGGAGAGGAGAGGAGCGCAGGATTCAAAAAGATTCGCCCCCGCAACGATCGTACGCCGAAAGCATGGCAGACGAAGGCGCCGCGGGCAGGCGGACGGCCTGACTCAGCTTGAACGCGCCTTTACTCGTCATCAAGAGGAGCATGGGCTTTTCTCACGCACGAAAAGAAGTTTGGAGGAGTCTCGTGGAGCGGGCTTTATTTGATTGCCCCGAATTCGAGGAGAACGTATGAGATCGAAATCTCCGACGCGAAGGACGACGACGAGCACGAGGCGCGTTCTTCATGGGCGGAAGAAGGCGCCGCTGAATCGGTGTTTGCCGAGGAAGCGTTTCGTCGATTTCGTGTTCGGCTTTTGGGAAGGTTGTTCTGATCTGTTGGCTGACGTCAGTGTGGATTGCGCTCGGAGCTCCGCGATTCGCTCTGGCGTGTGCGCGCGGCGAGATGGAAAAGCCGAATGTGACTGATTGTATAAATGAAGCGGAATTCTGCTTTCCTCGATTGTCGTCTGCGCGTTGAAAGCGTGACATCGTCGGGCATAAGTCTCGGTTAATTTGGTACAAGTGTAAACGCCGGCGAATTGCTGAATTGAGACGGTTGTGTCGAATGAACAAACTCTGATTCCAGAGGTGAATTATTCTCGATTTTTTTACAACGTCGACTCCACCTCGTCGTTGACAATATGCCTGCGTCATTACTCCGAGTTGTCCTCCTCTGGATGCTGGCGTCTTCGGTATACTGTGGAGATACACAGTCCACGTTTTTTGAGGAACTGAAGACTCACATTGTAATCAACACGAGCCGGGTCGTCGCTACTCTTGATGAGACGTTTCTGTGCGCTACTCTTGATTGGTGGCCATCGTCGAAATGTAATTACGGATCATGCCCATGGGGTCATGCTGGTTTACTAAATCTGGTAAATCCGTTTCCACGCTCCAGTCCCGAAATTTGTGCAATTCCCTCAGTCCATAACACAGTGCCTAGCGCTTTCTCGGAATATCATGGAAGCTAATATTTTGAATCTGTTAGCTTCAAGCCTCGAGGAATGCTGGAGCGCTAGTCGGGTTAGACTGATGATGTGTACCATATTGCATGCTGAGCACTTTCATCTAATGTAAACCACGGTTGGTTTCCCAATTGTAGAGAATCGCAAGCTGATTTCATTCGCACAATATGTCCACTGTAGCAATTGAATTAAGCAAAAAGTTTTCTGCAATTGTGGTGTGTCTTGTTCGCAGGATCTTGGCAACCCGTTATTGGAACGTACTCTTGCAGGTTTTGCTCTCTTTCCTCACATCCTAGCTGTACAATATCTCCATGAGCCGTAGTGTCAACCGGTGCGGAAGTGATCTTCCATCACTCTACCCTCTGGAATATTGTGTCACTGAAAAAGTTTTATGGGATAGCTGCACAACAGTAATTGGATACGATTGACAGAATTCATGTCCTGCTGCACAGTTTGTTGTTGTTCCCACCATCGGTTACATACTCCCTTAAAGTGCGCTCGCAGATATTCCATCCATCGCCAAAGTCTTCCATCCTGGCCATGACTAATCGCCGTTATCGAATTTGCTCCTCAAAATTCGATAACGGCGATAGAAAATTGCAAAGCCTGATTAAAAGTCGAAAATAGTATCAGAAATTCTGTTATATCTCCTCGCGGAAGTTTGAATCTCAGATTGTTTAAGATGCTGAACAGAGGTAATTCTCCAATTTAGTGGCCTTTCAGGGTGGCAGCCAACCATAGAGCCTTTGGTCCTAACCCTTTGAAGGATAAGAAGGATGTCAGTGGAAGTTTCACATATGACAGCTACGAAAACTATCTTGAAATTATAGATCAAACGCTGCGCAAGTCTATCTGATGCTCTTTAACGCTCAGCCCGCATATATTTTCAGAAGCAAACGTGCAATTTCTTAGGAGGAGATTAAGGAGACATCACAGCGTCTGTAATCATAGAGCTTTTCCACCTTTGGTGGGAATATCCTAGTCTGGCGGACCTTAACACTGTGCGAAGAATCTGATGACTGCAGGTCTGGCCCCTTTCACAATAAGAATTGGGGGAACATTGCAGGATCTGGTTGTGTACAATGTCGGCGATCATATTTCAACTGAACCGTGCCTTCCGTTCGTTTACAATGCATCAGCTTTGTTCTCATACACTGGTGGATGTTTACCCATGGAAAAATGGGATGCTATGAATGAACTCTTCAAGAAGACCGGGTATGAAGTTCATTTCAGATATGAGCTGCTTTTGTGTTTCCTTTCTGAATAATTTATACATGCCCATAAGTGTAAAGGGCTGTTCATATTGTTGTCTTTCGGAGCTCCCTTATACTCCTGTGTATTTCAAAGCAGAATCCTTTTTAGGCGAATGTGCGGAATTGCATACCACATGTACTTATTATATCTCGTTTCGATGCTCGAAGCTTCTTCCGTAATGATGTTGGTAGAGTTTCAGATTATTCGTACTGATCAAGACTCGGGAAAATTTTAGTAAGCCTCCAGTAATTCTGTACCTCGTGCAGGGTTTCCGTGGCCTTTGGTCTCAACGCACTCTATGGTCGTTCAAAATCCTCGGACTACAATGTCGTCGGTCCATGGAATCCAAGTAATGCAGCAAACTTCATCCGATATACGCACGATCGAGCCTATCCTGTCACAGCTTGGCAGCTTGGTGAGAAACTGGACTGCGCATTCTTTCTTAGTCCGTTATTCTGTACCTGAAGCAAAATATTTCTTCATTATTCATGACCGCAATCCCACAGATAGAACAATCCCGCACTGCTACCTCCTGCATCCGACCTGAGAATCCGTTTCTTTCATGTCACTTGTTCATGGTTAGTGGGTACACCTTTCAAGTCTCCATCCTTCCCTTTCAATTACGTGTCATACTGAACCCCTTAAGAACCAGCTAACATCTGCCAAACATCCTTGTAGGTGCAATGGAAAGACTCTTAAGTCTTTGAGCCGAGGACGCAAATAGCTGCTTTCTCCATGCATCCTCCGTTAGTAGCAGGTGCTGGTTCCAGCCGTCGAAGAGATGAATGTCAGATATGCTCTTATGTTGGGTTCTTACTTCGCCAGACGCTGTGAAATAAGCAGAAAAGCAATTAAGCTGCTCATCGACTTGATGATTACTTACGAGAACTTTTGGGCCGTACATAGGACCATATAGGGCCATACATAGGCTACCAAGTTCAAGCCCATATATGCACTGTTTCCTGACTTCAACGTCATGAGATTGTGATAATCTACATAGGAAATGAGCTGTTGGGAGCTGGCATTGGCAAAGTGGTAGCTCCAGACCTGTACGCTGCGGACGTTCTCAAGCTGCGAAATGTTGTCGACGAAATCTATCAAGGAGATACCACGAAGCCCGTTATCGTTGCACCAGATTCTTTCTACGACGTGGGGAGCAAGGAAATTCCGAAATTTTTAAAGTCTTCGGGACCTAACGTAGTCGATGTAGTCACAAGACATATATACAACTTGGGTGCAGGTAAGGAAATTTGCACATCGTGATGTGTCTTAGTCTCCCTAGATGTTAGTACTCGACAATCCAGATTGAACACGTGGTCGGTTAGTTTGAAGGTACAGTCACGTTTATACGATAGCCACAGTGCTGATTGTTCAGATGGTCGCCGCTTGATATCGCGAGATCGTTTGTTGGGAATCTTGAACCTGGATAACTTTTCATCATATGTTTGCAGGGGTAACAGAAACCAATGAGCTAATTGGTAGAGTGTTGAGTCGTGTATACGCGGACAATGAGGCTGCTAAGTACAAATCAATGCAAAGCGTTTTGCAAGAATACCCTCAAACAACCGCATGGGTAGGCGAAGCGGGTGGAGCTTATAACAGTGGTCATCATCAAGTCTCCGATGCCTTTATTTTCGCCTTCTGGTGAGTGCTTCTGCTTTTTCTTCAGGGCCTCCCTGAAGTGGGAACCACTGTAAATGTATACACAATGACTATGGATGACTACCCAGGACAGGTGATTAGGTAGGTAACCGGAAAGCCCTAGATCTGAGAGCAAGCAAGGATCGTTGAAGTGCAACGTAAAATCACTTCCATACCAGATTATTAATGGGCTGCAAAATATGAATTATTCCGGCTTCTGAGTCTGTCTAAGTACACGTATACTTACCTTCCTCCCTAGAATATGAGATGAAAGAAAGATGTAAGCATCGCTAGCACTTGCCCGACGACACAATCTTAACCAATGCAGCAATACTTTCACTTGCTCTTGGTTCCAGGTACCTCGACCAACTCGGTATGGCATCAAGATACAACAACCAAGCGTTCTGCAGGCAGAGCTTCATTGGAGGCCACTATGGCCTTGTCGATGCCAACTTCAATCCAAATCCGGATTACTATGGGTGCGTGACTTAAGTTCATATATTTCGGCGGGTGCAAACAGACATATTCTGGCTCAAAATCTCAATTCCATTTGAATTATTCCCAACCGGCTGATTCACAAACTTTCTTGACATAGAATAGAGTTACTCCGTTAATGCCCTCAGATAGTCATGAAGGTGAGACGTTGCAAATTCCCTGAGACCACGCTCGGCTCGATATACCCTTACATCCCACCAGAAATATTCTACAATGAATGATGTCCTGGCGTAGAATGTGGGGATCGCCGACTTTGTTTCCTGTGTTGTGGGCCTGAATTTGTGTGACCTACCCCTGCCAAATCCACAGGAATTTGAGCTGAGACAACGCTTTCTCATGGGAAACCTTAAGGGAAAAGTTAGGATGTTTTTCCCTTCTGCAGTTCAGCGATGAAGGCACAACGTAGAAATAGCAGGTTTTAAATGCTGACTCTTGACCTTCGACTGTTGAATATACTGTTCAGAGCCCTGCTGTGGCGCCAATTCATGGGAAGAGGAGTTTTAGTTGTCGACGTTATCAATGGAACAAATGATGTTCGGGCCTACGCTCACTGTCAGAAAGACAAGAAGGTAACAGTACGTGCTTTCGATGACTTATAGATATACTTTTGTCCTGAGACTCTAGCAGTAGAGCCGAGCCGATCTCTCAAATCATAACGTAACTAGTTTCAGTACACTTCAGCCTTGTACACATGAGTGATAACAAATTCGTTCGTGTTCAAGTCCTCATCTGTTTTCGGTTGATGAGCCATACCAGTGGGTTTGTAAGTTGGCAGAAATTCTGTTCGCGATAGAATTTCTGCCAAAATTCGAGATAGAAAATTTCTCTCGTCAGTGTATAGCGGGCAAATAACAGGTTCGTTTAACAGAGAGACGAAAAATTATGAGTTGTACAGAATATAGTTAGAGAGCTAAAACCTTCGAAGGTGCTTAGATGTTTAAGCAACTTCGCTGAGATGTCGGAAAGTGCTGTCTCGACCTCAGGTTAATATCAGACAACGATTGTGCGAGCCATTGATCTGGCCAATAAGTTTTATCGTCTTTGAACGAATTCACAGTCGGCTAAGCTGTCTTGTCAGTAAAAGAACTATTTGTTGGAGGATGAGATGTATAGAAAGTCGAAAGAGGGACATACAAATGAAGAACCACGCTCCAACACACACACATCAGCTATCCTGAAAGCCCAACTGGTGAACATAAGGCGCGATTCCTGAGATGAATTAAATCAACCGACAGTGTGTTTTGAACATCATGTTTACTACGACTTAGGTTTGCAAAGATCAGCCTAGATGAAGAACTACAGAATTCTCTGGAGAGAGTTGGCAAATAATAAGTTTTCTTTGACCATGTTTGTTCTAAGGACATTGCGTTCTCGAGAGAGGAAAATAAGGATGCACTGAAGAATTTTGGTACTAGTTAAGATATCATCCGAGATGCATGTGGACCTCTCTGATAGGTTTGTCTAACTGTGTGTTTGATTTGGTCATCAGGGCGGTTTGACACTGCTGGTGCTCAATTACAGTAATACTACCAAGCACAACCTGGATGTGAGTTTACTTGGTTTTTCGACTCCTACAGAACTTCACAACTATCGAAAGTTGCTGGCGGATGAGGAGTGTGAAGCAGCCAGTTGTCACAAGAACACCGAAGATTCTTCAGGCAGTCTACGACTTGAGTATCATATGAGTCCCGCAAATGGCATGATCACTAGCCAGACCGTTTTGCTCAATGGTCAGCCGTTGCAAATAACGCCTACTGGACAATTACCAACATTGTCGCCCATAAGTGTTGATTCCTCCAGCCCCATCTCTCTAGATCCACTCACGTACGCATACGTTGTCATACCGAATGCTCACGCCCCTGCCTGTCTTGTCGACTGAAATCGAAGTGACTGCAATTGCAACCACTTGATTGCAGCGAAAGTATTTTGAGCCAGTTCTGACTATGGCAACAACGAACCTGACGCCTTTTTAGAGAAACTGCCTGTGGAGGAGGAAATCCGATCTTGTGTACTTCTAGAACAGGACTGTGAATCCTGTCACGGGTCGACATCGAGAAGGTCAGGAGTGTACATCTTGGTAAAGATCTGGGAATTGCACAGTCCACGCACTGGTATGACTTCGTCTACCTTCACCAAGCGGCAGAATAGAAAAACTAACACTAGCTGCGTATCTACTCAGGTGGGCGGGTCAAGTGCTTGTACATCTTTCTGGAGAGCAATGAAGGGAAACTGTATAAATCTTATATCTGGGTTTCGACGATCCTTTTTGACTGTGGCTTCGTTCCAGTGACGAACTTTCCTAAATAGATACAATGGCATGAATGACTTGTACGTCGGATCGAATGATCCCGTCGAGCTCCTCGCTCGTCCGAAATGCGCTGCCTCAGATAGGGAGCGACTCTGCCTCCAAACTCGGTCGCCCACGACATATTTAGGGTGCAGTGGTCTCGTGGTTCAGTTCATGGACATGACAATGGCTCCGGCTTCAGCCGTCCGTCATGAGGGAGGCTTGGATAAGGGGCAAACCACAGCAACAAACAAGAGGAAGTGCTGGGCCATGATGATGAATGCTAAGGTGACTTTTATGCCACAAGTTCGTTTGCAGTCCTGGAAATCCGCCGCTCGGTCTACATGATCACACTACACGAGTAGGATCCGTCCCTGCTCCACCCAACTTGACCCGAGGCCCGCCTGACTCCAAACATAGAAAGCGGACTCCGCACTCGCAGCCAGCTCGGTGCGAGCCTTTTGACCAGAGCAGAATGCCAAATTCCCCGACTTCCAGCGAGCAAGAACGTGAATCACTTGCCATCGCATGTCGGACAAACTGCCCGCCCGCCCGTTCGGGGCCATGACCGTGAGCCGCAAGCACAGCGTCGTGGTCCCACATGTTGGCCTGCAAACTGTTTCCTGATGGGAGTGACCGAGGCCTCATTCTCACTCATGCTCCCTTTCCCAGACTGTCACCAGTTTGACGGATCCCCGGACGATGGGCTTCTTCGAGCCCTTTGTGCGGGTTCGCCTCTTCCAGACCCTTCGCCTACTGTGGGCAAAGCCACCGGTTACTGCGTAACCGCATTCCTACCACCTGACACACTACACAACCAGCCGTCTGCGCAACGACCGCGACAGCGGAAAAGAGACCGCGGCCACCTCGCAGTCGTAGGCGGGAGGCCGGCCGGCAGAAGATGTACAACTTCAGGCCCAAGACATGGATGGCGCCCGCGCTTTCCTCGGTCGTACCGAACGTCACCCTGTTCCTTCGTTTGGAAGGCACTTTCTGGACGAGCCCCAGTTTCGGTTTGCATCCTTTTTCAAATGCTTCATGTACTTCCCACTTTCCCTTGCCACCGTGATAACGCCGAATACTGTCACAAGATAGTGCCCCCCCTCGGCTCCAGAACATGCTCCAGCATGCGCCCCCTCACATTCATTGTGTAAGGCTGTATCGGATTTCCCCATCTCGCCGCGGAGGATGTTTGCCCCGTCCTGCCCCTGCATTCATTGCAGGGTAAAGTCTGCATTCCAACTCGGATGTGCAGTGAGTCAGTGACGTTGAGTCGTTGTCAAGGTCGCATGATCATACCCGCCTCCGCAGCAACCTCTGAGTCAGTTTTAGCCGGCCTAATGCTGTGTGCGAAGCATGGGCGACGAAGAGTTGGAAAATTTGAAAGCTGATGAACGAATGATCTTAAATCTTAACACTCGTGATGTGATGGTTCCAATACCAATACGGCACCCGAAAGAATAATCAGGCCTTTAGAACCCGGGGGGTAGATGGCTTTTTGAAGCTCCAGAATAGGATTGCGTTAGAGAATAACCGCGATCACATGACCCACACTCTGCAAGGGACAGACGAATAAAGGGCAGATTAAAAGAGCTAGAGAAGTATCATTTTTGTCCACCAATATTTGATTGTCGCCTCCCGTCAACTTGGGAGGTTAGTTAGGAAGCTTTGACATACATGCTTGGCTCATCAACCTTGACGTTAGATGGGGAATTTTTAAAGAGGACTAGATCTATCAACAAACTTCTCGTCCGCTTGTGCCCTGCCAAATACATCCTTATCTGCGGCCTTGTAATATTTTACCATGGAACTGAATCGTACGAGAGAGATTCATGGTTGTACAGTGTAGAATAATCGAGTTTCCGATATTTTGGACACGGAGAAGATGGAGATGCTTTGTGGCTCCCCCCCACTAGTGCTTAGAAAAGCAACTGTTCTCACCGTGGCTCTTGAAACCCCTTACAATCGGACATCTTCGTAGGAGAACCTGCATGGTAACAGTCGCGGTGAAATTGATTCCCACCGGTCATATCAGGTCGCACGGTCAATACGTTTCTCGAGGTGGGCCTGGTCAGAGGACCCAGCTCATCTCAGAGTCAGACAATTTTCGGAGAAGTTATCGTTGCGTATGTTGACTTAAAGTACACAAACGAAGCAAAATCGAGATTTTACTGACCCTTTGACATTTGCGGAAAATGAAATCATGCATCTAAAATTGTGGATCCTCGAAGAAGACTGTCACTTGGTCTAACCAGATCTGTTTCAACCTCACTGTCCTGAACTCTGCGGAATAACTTCGTTCCCTCGGTTGACAGTGAAATCTCCAGTGTCCTGATTAGAAGATGCCACGTGGATTGACACAATCTCTGTCCCAGATTATGTTGCACACTTTGCTCATTAACGACCTAAGCGATCTGTCGTGGCTTTTTCGAGGATGTTTGCCCATAAGTGACGGAATCATAACGAGCCTCGGTTGGAGTAATCAGTAATCAGTAGGTGGATCACATGCTCTGGGTGGACCACATTATCTTAAAACCATGGTCATGGGTTCACTATGGAGCTCTCATTCTGTTACATGTATCCATCAAAGGTCGCAAATGGCCTGAAATAGCGTGACCTAGAAGTGTAGCGTCACGTGTTCGAAGCAAACTCATGCACCTAATCCTGACCATATTTTTGGTGCAGAAGAAGAAGAAGCCCACTGCGTTGCAGGAAAAATCAGACCAAGTCAATAGCGAACGCAAGTCATTGCATCACAGCGCGGTCAGTCTCCGCCCAGAATCCCCAGTTTCTGCAGTGGGAGGGCATTCGAGTAACAAAGCGCACGGAGGCCAATATCCTCTCCCATTGTCCTGTAGTCTTCGTACATCGAACTCCTTCAAACTCCGACACCGAGTTGAAACGAGGAGTCTCAACCCATTCAAACGAAAACGCGTATTATCCCCCAATCAATATCATCTCCCTGACAACCTCCAACTCATCAACGATTCTAGAAATGAATGCTCGGAAAATCCCCAACAGAGGCACGAGAGCGTAAGGGAAAACCAAATTGACCAGATGAATCAAAAGCCAATAACAAATTCAAGCTCCCCGGCAGTAGATCTTGAAGATCCACGAGCAAGAACAAGCAAGAACTTGTGAAATGCTCGCCCAGTCAACCGCAGGTGCCCGAGGGAGTGAGTGAGCGACGAGGGAAGGACGAAGACCTACGATGACGACGACGTGGTGGTCGTGGGGATGTGGTAGAAGCGCAGAGTGCAGAGGCAAGCAGCGGAGGAGGACTGCGCGAGCGACTGCAGTCGCCGGGGGCGGAACTTTAAGTCACAACATGTGCGGCCACTTCACATGTGCGACCGACGCCTGCCGGCCTGCCAGCCAGCCAGGAACGTTCAATTTCGGTTTAATTTAAGCGCTGCCGGGAGAAGGCGCGACCGGTAAAAGGGAGAAACCGAGGCGGAGGACCGCCGGACGGCGATCGGACTGACTTGGCTCCTGTCTGCCCCTCTGCCTCTCTGTCCACAGCCGCTCTCGTGTCCGGCCCCCGGCCCTCGGCCCCGCGCCCCGCTCCCCCCCGCCCCGCGCCACCCCCCACCCCCCCGCGGCCCGCCCCTCGTCCTTCAGACGACAGCCTCCTCTCGCCTCTTCTTGTGTACTCATCCCCCCTGCTCTCTCCACACTCGACACCAACAGCAGCAGCAAGCAGCTCTCGCAGCGGATCTGCTCTTCTGCTGCTCCCTCTGCTTCCTCGTGCTACACGGTCTTCGTCCTCGCTTCCTCCACGCTTCCTCGCGCTCTCTCCAGGTACTCGTCGCCTCGCGCTCTTTCTTCTTCCTAGTTCGTCCGTTCCTCGTCCGAGATAGGGCGGTCGCGGGTCTCGTGAGGGTTTTTTCGAGCAAGGTGCGTGAGCAAGTTCATATCGGTGGGCAATGCATGGGGCGAACCTGGTCGGGCCCTTTTCCGAGGCCGCCGGAGAGCCTAGTCTCCAAGCTGTAGTATCGGTGTTCTCGAAGATCGGTCGGTGTCTGCATCTCTCCATCTCGATTCGTTTCGTCTGAGCTGATCCGCCGGTCGATTTTGACGATGTCGTGTCCTCACCTACGCAAGTTTGGTTCCGAGGATTAGTTTTGAAGATGCTGTCAATGGGAAGTTTAGCTCTTGGTTCGTGATTAGTTTGGACACGGTCACATGAATCGTAGGGACCCAGGTGTCGGGCGGAATCTTCAGCAGTCATTTCGGTTTCCGTAACGCTGGATATCAGCTGAAAACGTTCATCGATGGATTGCGGATACCATGACCTAATGGATCGTCCAGCTTATTCTTCTGGAAGTATAGACGTGTGATGGCTGTGGCCTGTGGTAGGGTTGGACACGCCCGCAGTGGTCTCTCCGAATTTGAATGTTGCAATGGTCGATGTGCTCTGCCGATTTGGGGAATCGAAGTGGCAAACCGGTCGTTCGGACTGTCGAGTGTATGCCTGCTGCTTGTGCGATGTAGTGTGGATTTTTCCTCCGATGTTTTCCAAACGTGGTCGGGATTGCAGTTCTTCAATCTACCAGCGGAGCTAATTTCGTCTTTGGCTTGCAGTCTATCGTCGATATGGCTGACTCTGAGGATGTGTCGCCTTTGGTGTGCGACAACGGATCTGGAATGGTCAAGGTATGAGACCCGCTCTGCGACGTACAGACCACATGCAAAGTGACTGCGACTGCCGAATTGGTCTTAGCTGTGTACATTGAAGTGCGTGATCTCCTTAGAAACTTATGGATCTACGCTCATCGAGCTGTCTGTCGCTTGCAGGCTGGTTTCGCTGGAGACGATGCTCCCCGTGCAGTGTTCCCCAGTATTGTCGGAAGACCTCGCCACACCGGAGTCATGGTTGGTATGGGACAGAAGGATGCATATGTCGGAGATGAGGCCCAGTCCAAGCGTGGTATCCTGACTTTGAAGTATCCAATTGAACACGGTATCGTAACTAACTGGGATGATATGGAAAAGATCTGGCATCACACCTTCTACAACGAGTTGCGAGTTGCACCTGAAGAGCACCCGGTCCTTCTGACTGAAGCACCGTTGAACCCTAAGGCTAATCGTGAGAAGATGACCCAAATTATGTTCGAGACCTTTAACGTCCCCGCGATGTACGTGGCCATCCAGGCTGTGCTGTCTTTGTACGCCAGTGGTCGTACTACCGGTAAGTCGCAGTGGTTTTAGACCTGTTGATCATGTTCTGCCATATTCTGTGTTTACTGTACCGCTCTCATTACATTCTGTCAACTAATTTGCGCGAATGGCCCATTTCTTTGAACTACAGGTATTGTTTTGGATTCTGGTGATGGTGTCACTCACACCGTCCCAATTTACGAAGGTTACTCTCTTCCCCACGCCATCCTGAGGTTGGATCTTGCCGGACGTGATCTTACCGACGCTTTGATGAAGATCTTGACCGAGAGAGGTTACTCTTTCACCACCACCGCAGAGCGTGAAATTGTGAGAGACATGAAGGAAAAGCTTGCATATGTTGCACTTGACTTCGAGCAAGAGCTTGACACCTCCCGATCCAGCTCCTCACTGGAAAAGAGCTACGAGCTTCCCGACGGTCAAGTTATCACCATTGGTGCCGAAAGATTCAGGTGCCCAGAGGTTCTGTTCCAACCCTCATTGATCGGTATGGAGGCATCTGGTATCCACGAGACCACCTACAATTCAATCATGAAGTGTGACGTGGATATCCGTAAGGACTTGTATGGAAACATTGTGTTGTCTGGAGGAACGACCATGTTCCCAGGTATCGCCGAGCGTATGACCAGGGAAATCACCAGCCTTGCTCCCAGCAGCATGAAGATTAAGGTTGTTGCACCACCAGAGAGGAAGTACAGCGTCTGGATCGGAGGATCTATCTTGGCTTCTCTCAGCACCTTCCAGCAGGTAATGTTTCCTCCCTACGCTACCACCAATCACTTTGCTTCTCTATTCCACATGATGATTCATGTTGTTGTGACAAGCACAATATTGAGCTTCGCTTCGGAAATTGCAGATGTGGATCGCCAAGGCCGAGTACGATGAGTCGGGCCCATCTATCGTCCACAGGAAATGTTTCTAGGCGATTTTTGTGATAACGGGCATTTGAAACTCACATCCCCTTTTTGGGATTAGAGTATTCATAGCTGGAAGTCCCACTTCCAGTGAGTGGTTTGGATTGCGCTGGCAATGTCGGGGTGTACTAGCTCTGCAGGTGGTTGGACATGAGGTTTGTAAAAATAGCAGACAGGGATGGCGGTCGAGTGCCAGTGAGTTAAATTAGGAACAAAAACCGCCGCATAACACCACATTCTTACAAGGCCTGGATTAGGGGTCTCTAATCTCATGAAGCTTTGGATCTCAATTTTCTCTTTGTAATGCCTTTTGCTGTAACGCGGTCATTTGAGCTTGAGCTCAAATTACAAGTCGTCATTCTTATGCCCTGGTTTTTGTGGGGGATGATCAACGTGCCTGTTGGAAGATACAGGAGGATCTTATCGTTCGCCCTCGTGGTTAGTGGTTGTAACTGCAAAAATATCCGAAGGGACAAATTCTGTCTACAGTAGTAAAGTGAATTCAGTTCGCGAAGTTAGTGAGGAGTCATTGTAGATATACCCCATTGTGGCACGACAGACCACCTATCTATATATTTCATGTTATTCGGGCTTTGCCTTTGTTGCATTAAAGCACTATCATCACAAGGAAAAATCAACCGCTGCTTGTCCAGTTCGTTACTTTTTTATGCTTGAGTCCTCTGAGTACGTACGATCAGGAAGCAATGCAAACAAGTGCATTTATTGCACACGTTCCTATCGAGACACTCAGCGGCTGCTACCTGGTCTTCAGTTTCCAAAGAGGATGGTGTTGAAATCATTTCTACCGTGCCCCCATCTCCTCGGTGTATAACTTAGCCCTTAGCTGGAAGTGTACTGTCACACTACATCGAGCTCGGCTGGTGAAACGTATGTAAATTGGAAAGTATATGTGTGAGATTGACAATGAGGATTGTGGGGATCTAATGGCGGGAGATGACACTAGGCGAGGCGGCTATACACACGTCGTGTTCCAGGGGCAGCTGACCTTTGACACGACGACTGAGTGAAATTGTGATCTAACGAAGCTCGTCACGAAACAAACGTTCTGTGGATTGAGAAGTTTGACCGGTGAACGAAGGTTTTGAAGGGCAATTTTTGTGTGACATTTGCGTTGGAATTATTGGCCAATTCATTAATCTTGACGATGAGCTGTGAGTTACTCGGCTGGGGACTTTTCTTGTAACGTCAGGAGTGAATTATGGAATATACATTTCTCTTCTTACTAATCGTATTGAGAACGTACATGTGAACTCTCTAAATTCTTTAATTGTGGGCATATTTATCATGGATACGACCGAGTTAATGTGGTTGACGCCCTGAACACACTTGCTGTGCTTACACGGGCTGAAGACGTCATCCCGAATCACTGGAATGATTTCCTCGGTGTTTTTTATTAGGGTCATGCCTTTCTTCTTGGACACTCCTCGTCTCCATCTCCCACGATTACCTTTAATAATGTGGTGACTTTCTGCCAGGTCCTATTCCAGATTCTCAAATTCAAATAAGCCATGAGTGTAATGAAGTCCGGAATGGTGTCAGGAACAATGAGCAGTCTGACAAAGCTCGTCACTGCAGTTTCTTCATTCCTATCGAGTATGCTCTTCCAGCAGAGCCAAAGGTGAAACCCGCAGTAACCAAGGTCGGCAGGAAAGATGGCAAACGAAGTCGAGATTTAATTTCGGAAAACCACTCCAGATCTACTCTTTGTGACAACACCCGACTTTACTAGAAGGAACAGAATTTTGATCTCCGAGTGAAACACCACCAAGCGAATGACCAAAATTCGTCTGATTTGGTTCTGTGTCAGTCCTCCTTCCCGAATCTGGAGCTACGGAAACAACGGATGAAGGTATATTCCCCATCAAGTGTTTGTCTTTTGTGACTCTCACGAATGCGTGCTTAAATTTAATACATCTTCTGTATTTTCGAAATATATAATGAATAGCGCAAACGCAGATAAAGCAAAAGATGCACTGTCCAGTACTGTACTGCAACTCCGAACCATTTACATCTTAACTCCAATTCTTCCCTCAGGGCCAACGCAGTAGCTTCTGTGCTCAAAGTTACGTCTGAATCCGAAGGAGAATGAACTCCTGGACAGAACGTCCTAGAGTCCCTCGTCTGCTTGTTCATTCATCCTCAATTTGTCACGCATTGCTTCATAGCGACATGGACAGAGGGTTTCATCCGCCACAGTCACCATCCGGACACACGTTCATGACTACACCATACAACACAATGTTGGGGTCAGTCAGTCAAGCAGCGGAAGAAGTCGTAAGCGTATTAAACTCTGTACTGTGAAGGCGCACACAGTAACTCCAGTCAAGGAACGTCCGGCTCGCTGCACAATTCCGAGATGGGCGGGAAATTAAATAGTATAATAAAATCTCCCGCGAAATGAATTGTGTAGAACCTAGTAACCAGTTCCCACTTCATCAGGTGAAAAGGCGGATTAGAATAAACATTTAGTGATTCAACTTGAGGCTATAGGACCAATTGGGAGCATCCGGCATTTATAACTGCGTTCAACCTGAAAATTTTAATACACAATTGTTGAAATACCCTTGGGATATGATTCCACATGACAGGTTGTAGGATATCAATTGAATTTGTAAAACAATTGCAAGGAAATAATCTGACTGGAACATCGTGTAAAATGCTAAAAGGTATCTCTATGATTTTAATCATAGATATAAAATACTAGCGATTGAAAGTTCATAAAGTATATAATATATTTTATAATTGCTCATATACAGTTTTCAATATGTATATTTTAGTTTATCCTGTATGATACAAAGCAAGATCGACTCTTATATTGCTAATGGCCAGTTAAGCGTTCTTGTACTGCTCATTTAATCTTCAGTATAAGAAGACAAATCACATAATTTGCATTTGCTAAGTATATAAAGTCTGAAACGCATTCATTCAAATATAGGAATGGAATTATATTATTGTGATATATCAAGAAAAAATATTGTTATGAGAAATTTTTCGGAATGAAATCGAATGTGGAGCTGATGATGTGAAAACGGAAAATAAGATCGATATGATGGCAACCAGACTTAGTTATGAAGCTGCATTTACATGCAAAAGAAAGTGCACAATGTGAAGATTATATGAAAGCTAATGTTCACATTAAAACTGATATCTACTTCAATGTTTTTTCTTTTTTAAGTGTAGATTAATCATTGTAATTGTTTTCCCCTTACAAATCAAAATTTGAAATTGAGACTTTGAAAACAATAATGGCTATGATAAAAAAATATTCAAGACAAACAATCTTTTATTTCAAGTTATTGTCACGATAGTTGAATGCCTTGCTTTTGTATCTACAACAAGAAATTAACTTGAGAACAAATATCATGTGCTAAAAGTTTGAAATCATGAAGAGTTGAAATTCTTTGATGCAATTTTGCTAATAAATATTTGTGTTTGAATCTTGACAGAGTGAAAGTAATCAATTTATCATACAAAGAGTATACTTTTTATCCAAAATATTCAATTTGGACGGAGCGTAGGTGACAAGAAATTGTATGTAGGTGTACTATCTATTCAGCAGTTTCCAACATTGTGAAGACTATTTCTGTGAGATAAATTACATCAGTGTTTTTTCTTGTGTGATATTTCCTATATTCTTGTGAATACTAAAATTCTTGTGTAATTTTGTGAAACCTCAATAATGTAAGATTTTTTTTATGAATGTGTACAATTGGTATTTTGAGCATATATATATATATATATATATATATATATATATGTATGCTCAATAAAAAATTAAGTCAAATTTGGCTCATAAAATATATATTAATTTCATAAAATTTACATATAATCATCAAATTTAAATTCAATTTTTCTTTAAAATTTAAAAATTGTGACTTTTTAATTTATAATTGACAAAATTTGAAATATTTATTTATTTAAATACAATTATATAAAAATGATAAAAATACAAAATAATATAATCAAAAAATCTATACTAATAAGATATAAATCTGTTTATCTACATTTTGAAATTTTATAAACAAATTACATATAAATTGATAACTTTTAAAATTAATTTATAGTTATTGAAAAAAAATTATTTATTAACAAATTTAAGTAAATGACATATTGTATTTCAATTAGAAAATGTATTTCTTAATAAATATTTAAAATATTTGTAAATTTTTAAATAGCTTATTTTCACACTTTTCAAATATATGGTATATTTATTAGAAAAAGAGTTCAAAAAAAATATTTTATAATCTCTTCTACTTTTATATCACTCTGTAATATTAAAAAATCAATTGTATTCCAAAAAACATCATGTTTAATTTTTAAACAAAAATCATATAATCCTTAAATAAATATATTTTATAAATTGTGTCAATCATGTGTTCAATGATGTGATATTCGTTTAACATGTCTATAAATTTCATCTCTTTTGTTATCTTTAACATTATGTTTGATTTGTATCTATTAGTAAGATAATCAGGTTATAATTGATGTTTTAATTTTGTGGTATAAAAACTTATTTTCATAAAAAATTGATTTAAATGTATCATTTCATATATATCATAAATTTTCAATCAAATTTTTTCCAAAATATGGAAAAATAATCTTATCAATTTATATTTATTGTTGTTTTGTAAATTATACATGTAATATTTCAATTTGCAAAAACAAAAAAATTAAACATATATATAAACCAATTTGTGTAACATGTACAATCAACAGTATAATTTAATTGCTTTCTTCAAAATATGAAAATATGATCTTTTATGTTGTATTTGAATAATATAACAAAAAATGTTAAATTATTATTTGAGTATTTTTACTTATCTAATACATTCCAATGCTTTGTGATTTTTTGATGTGAAATAATTTCCATATTTATAAATCATATTTCACAAAAATAAATTAGAAAATCACACAAGACAATGACAAAGTTTATTTCACAAGACAAGCATTCATAATGTTTGATACGGCAAGATCCATCTCATTGCATTAAGTAAAGATTAATATATCAATAATTCATTATCACTTATATTGTACTATCAAGGATGAATGTAACAAAATATTCCTTTACAAACTTTAAGTTCACAATAATACTTAACCTATATAATTATATTGCAGTAAGTTCTAGAAGTAAGTCTCACAAAGTCACTTTTTAAAACATGCAAACTAGCACTAAGTCTTAGTCAAAATATGATAGAATAAAAATATACAAAATTTAATAAAAATGGCTAGTAAAATCTAATCGCGATCTTTATGCAAAACTTGCATAGTAACACAATGTTTACTAAAACTCTTTAAAAAAATTAATTTTGATCAACACATGAATTGGATAAAATTTCTTGTCAATTTTGACAAGCTCAATACTTTTGTAATTATTTTTCTAACAAATCATACTCTTCAAGATCAAATTCTTGAGTCACATTGATTGACAGAGAATCGACACCTTTGATTTTTACACAATAATACTTCTTATTGTGACCACTATTGCCACATTTCCAACACACTATTGTGTTTCTTTCTATAAATTTAACTATAGATTTGAATGTGCATTTGAATCCAAAATGCAAATCAATCTTGTCACTTGATAAATATGATCAATAGAGATGTCAACC